AAAGCTCTATTGAGCGTTTCACCTGACGTCAGTACATACATGTATACAGTGTACACAGCTACTGGTCTGTTTACTCTCCTAGTTAAAGAGAAGGTTGAGTTCTGGGAAGAAGTGAACAAATAATTTGTGAGCGTTATAATTGTTATTACCAGTATGCAATTGTGGAATGAACATCAAATTAAAATTGTTCCCTGAAAAGCATGGTTCTTCAAATGCCTTAATATTCTAAATATGGCATGTAACAGCATACAAATCGGGACAGATTTTTATGCCACATGTTTGTGTAGTCCCATATACATCTGATCTTTATGTGTACAGTGATTGTAACTTCACCAAGACTGGGCCAAATTTCTTATCATTTTGATAATTCCAGAACCTTGCAGTACACACCAATACTTATAGATGATCAACCTTTTCTGATCGATTCCACACTGTTTCTTTCACAATGCAATCGCACTTTGCAGAACTCAACTTTATCTTTAAAGAGAAGGTTGGTTTAGTTATGATGATACTAACGTACATGTATTCAAATGCAAGGAATACTTTCAAAACTATATTTGTTTTTGACAACCTGAAAGCCTTGTTGAGGCTTGTCTGACAGAGCAACAAGTTATGCATGCACACTGGATTCCAAGTATTGTAGTTCAATTCATAAACAACAGGTAAATGAAATGACTTGTCACTGGGCCCCCCAAAAAGAAAGAATCAAGTTTTTCTTCTGCTTCTTCTTCTCCTCCTTCTGCTTATTCATTATCATGATCATCATGATCATCTTCTTCTTCTTCTTTTTATTCTTCTTCAGTTGCTTTGTCTTCTTTTTCTACTACTTCTCCTTCTCCTTCTTTTTGCTCTTCTCTTCTCCTCTTACTCCTACTGCTTCTATTTATTGTTTCTTCTTCTTCTTCTTCTTCTTCTTCTTCTTCTTCTTCTTCTTCTTCTCCTTCTTCTTCTCCTTGCTCTCCAATCTCCATTTTGTTATTCTCCTTCTCCTCTTCCTCCTAATTCTTCTACTTCTTCTTCTTCTTCTTCTTCTTCTCCTCCTCCTACTTCTTCTTCTTCTTCTTCTTCTTCTTCTTCTTCTTCTTCTTCTTCTTCTTCTTCTTCTTCTTCTTCTTCTTCTTCTTCTTCATCTTCTCCTTCTTCTCCCTCTTCTTCTTCTTCTCCTCCCTCTTCTTCTTCTTCTTCTCCCTCTTCTTCTTCGCGATACGTACTGATTGTTCTTCAAATGAACTCATACCAGAAATGTGATAAGAAACAGAGCTCTGAAAAGTTCTGTGCATTGTACATACAGTAAATATGACTTTCAGCAAGATTAAGTGTTATTTGCTTTCTAAATTCCTCTTATTGATGATTCCAAAAGCTCAAAGTAAACACCAATACCGGATCCATCTATACATGTACATTGTACATGTAGAGTTTGGGAGGTGGAAGAACACTCCGTGTGCTAGTTTTTCTTATGTCTACATGGGTGAACTTTAATAAATCAGGAACTTTGATGATTAGGGAACTTGTATGATTAATCAATGAGTTCGACAAGAGGGCATGTCATCTGCTGAGAACAAGAAGGGAGTTAAGCTTCTTTATACTGTTTGATTTAACCCTTTCGCAACAATTATTCCACTTGTTTTGGTTTAGCTCATACATGTACGTTATGATTCATAGCCCTATACAAATATACAAGATCCACAAGTAGAAAGGGTTACATTTTATGCATACACTGCTATCATTTTTGTTTCATGACTATGTTGCATTTGATACCAGGAAGTTTCAAAAGGAAAATAAGTTTTAAAATCCTGAAATTAAGAACACTTTGTGAGATTAAAAATCATTGTTTTTCGATCTGGCCATGTAATTAAATTTTTTAAAGATGATATTCCTGACCGTGTGTATCATTTTCAGAGACATTGCATACACATTTACATAGCGATCAAAGACAAATATCGTTGTTGCCAATTTGAAGAAAAATGTGTGATCAGTTTACCCCTGAAAAATAAATTGTGTTCTAAAAGGATTTATAATGCCCTTCTTGCTTTCCATGAGTCAACAGACTAAGAAACAGTAACTGTATTGTTTGATACAGTAATGATGTGAAACTATCATACATGTACATGTAGGCGTATCTGTACAGTGTATGTGGATGCCTTCCTTATGACATGAACTTTTAAGTATTATTGGTAATATGACTCATTAATGATAATGGTCATATTTGTATAGCGCTTTTAAGTTTTTATTACATCTCTAAGTGCTTTTGATTTTTAATATTATTACCCTGGTCATTGGATTCAATTGCTAATCTGAACATGATAGTGCATTCGCTCCGCTCCCTGGGGATTATTCCAGCCAGGCGCCATTTTACAAGCACACACATAATTTTTTACATCTAGAGATTTGTTGTCTTTGACGTACTGCAAAGTATGTGCATGGCTCAGATCAAGGGTACACTTACAAAAATGTAGATTGAACACTGGGAAATTGTTCAATTATCCAAAACCATGAGACCCAGACACAAATTAGCATTTTTATATTAGAAAGTACCATTGGGGGAAGCTCCAAACAAGTTTTCAGCTTCATTGAGTTCAAATTAAAGATTTTAGAGCAATTTTATGATGAAAAGAGGCCTATTTTCAGCACTTTTAACGTTACATTCAAAACATGCACTAATTGGATACCATATTTTTACTAATGGGATGCAAAACTTGTGATCTTTTTAAATCTTGATGTAGAATCTATGTAATAATTAACATTTCTGTTGAGTTAATTCCTATTATTTTACTTTCTTATTCCATTTACACGTGATACAATTTTTGTGATATGTACATACATGTAACTGTGGTGTCCTGCAAATTTCAAATCTTACTAACTGAAGAATGGTGTATAAATAATTGATTTATTTACAAGCTTGCAATGTTATAATGTTTAGTTTCACTTTATCTTTGATTTCTAATCAGATCATTTCATTCTGGGTCATGGTTTTAAAAATATTCAGATTTCTGAAAATGGAAAATGTTTGGTGTCCTGCAGTTATGAACATACCATGCAACAGAATCTATACAAAAACTTATTGTATTCTTTCAAAATGATAATGCAATGGTGTATATAGGTGAATGAAGAGCACTGATAACATTGGATTCCCCATTTTAACTTGTATGTGTGATTTAATCAACAATGAATGGACACCGAGTTATGTACGTGACGAGTTATGTACGTACACCATGTTTTTTTTTCTTCAATAAGACCACCTATATTTAGTTATTTGTTATGGTAAGGTAGTAAACAATGTATAAGACATACACACGTCTGATTTGGTGAGAAGAATATTACAAAATGTTGCAGTTTGAGCTTTTTCATGTCATGTACATAACTAAGACACCGTTATGAAAAGACACCGAGTTATGTACGTTACTACCAATCACAATTTGAAATAAATTATCATAAATGAATCAATTTATTTCTGTCAGCATGAATTGCACCCTTCTGCATTTTCATTTAAACAAACATTTATTGAATTTAAGGAATAAGAAGTTATAATTTGAATGTAAAACTACTTACTTTTGGTGTCCACAGTTATGTACGATTAAGTACAGAAATCTTACATTTCAGTCCTGAAATAGTAGTTTGCAAACTATTTACACATTGCAAATTATGTTTCATTCAGGAAACACATCATTCCTTCAATTGAAGTCGATATTAGACTAATGCAAAACCATATCTGACAATAAGGCAAAGAGAAAGCATCTAGAGAATAAGATGTACTGTACATAACTCGGTGTCCATATTTGTTTTGGCCAAATTCTAATAACTAAATTGAAAAAAGTTGATATGGCAATGGTTTTAAGTTTTGTTTAGGGTATGTTTTAACATCTCATGTACTTTGTTGACCAAAATTTAAATTATAAGAGAAATATCAGCATGAAGTGGACACCGAGTTATGTACGTAACATTTTTGATGATGTGATATTTAGCTACTGATTGCCACTTAACGGCAATTTGTTAAGGTCTGATTTTTTAGCTATACATGTACATGTATGTTGCATAATGTTTGCAGATTACAAAAATAATGTTGCCACAGTCTATAATTGACTTTTAAAATTCACCTCATATGTAACACTTTTGTGCCCTTGATCAGAGCCCTGCACACATGTAGTATGTACAGGTACATGTAAATATGTGGGGGAGCAGAAAGCGATTGAGTTCTTGAAAAAAAATCCTCAGCGAGCCAGAAGATTAAAAAGTGCTGCTGGCAAAGCTGAAAAGAAAGATGGTAATCAACTCCAGAAAATCTTACTTTAATAGTTAACAAAACGTCATGTCATCCTCCCATACTTTTTTTTCTCACTTTTCTTAATAGTACCATCTTGTCAACGAAGACCTTCTGGCAGGCTCTTATTATATGTAGGTCCACCAAGTCAGCTCCAACCTGGAGACCTTCACTTTTTAAAAGAGAATCCTAGAGTAAAGTTTCGATTTCATTTACTAGAATTCTTCAAGACCTCTTCAGAGCTACAGTGTACATTTAAATTGCATACATGTACAGTATGTGTGTGTCTGTGTGTTACAGACGTGAATCAATCAGATATGATTATTTACGTCTGTGGACCGACCTTTAGCGTCACCATCCGAAAGACGTGACTCAGTATTGAACCTGCGTCCTCGGCTGAATCAGTTTGTAACTTCCATTGTTAGCTGGATTACAGGCGCACGCCACAACGCCTGCTCTCATGTATTCTTTTATACATTTTCACTGTTCTCTGAACCATTATATCATGAGAGATCTTCCGTCAGGCCCTGGTAGAGGTCTACTGTACCAAGTTTGCTCCTCTAGATGGAAACTTTCGCTCTGAAGACCATCATCGCCCTTGCCTGCATTGACTACCGGTATATCTCACCTTTTAAGATTTTATATGTAGTAGAATGAGGAACTCATGAATTACCATAGTTCTTTTTTTTAGCTTTATACAGAGTTAAATCGTTCACTGTTCTCATTTTACCATTTCTTTTAGAACCATCGTGTCATGGAAGATCTTCCGTCAGGCCCTGACAGAGGTCCACCAAGTCCGCTCTTCGATGGAAACCTTCGCCCTGAAGACCACCATCGACCTCACCCGCAACGACTACATCTCCAACTTTGAGTTTGATGTCTTCACCCGCCTGTTTCAACCCTGGTCTACCCTACTCCGCAATTGGAACTGTCTAGCGGTCAACCACAGGGGATACATGTCCTTCATGACCTATGATGAGGTCAAGAACAGATTGGAACAGTACATTAGCAAGCCAGGGAGGTGAGTCGAGACAAAAGTTGATAGGAGCGGGAGGGATGGGAAATCATAAACACTCAATGTTCATGGGAGTGTTGAAAAAAACATTAGTACATCAAAAGTTTAATAAGTAGGCCTGTCTTCATCAGCTTGAGATTGCTAAATATCCAGCTATTTCAACTATCCCGATCGCAAATTATCCAGTTAGTTTGCGTCTTCATCAGCCCGAAGTTGCAATTAGCAAGATATTTGGTCAGGATAATCATCCCAAGATATCTGGGGATAGTTTGCAAAATATCCCGCTATTTGTCCAGTGCATCTTCACCAGCCCGAAGACTCGCACTATGCGCGAACGCTGAGCAAAATATCTTGAGCTAATTTCTCAAGGTCGAGTTTCAAGTTTTGAGGTCGAATCTCGAGCTGATGAAGACGCGATTTGTAACTTCGGGATTATTTCCCAAATCAGAAATAGCGGGCTATTTGGCAATCTCGAGCTGATGAAGAGAGTGAGAATGGATTGTTTGTACGATAACAATAATATACTCTGGGTTTGTGTTTTGAAGAGAGCTGTATTTGCAGGAAAACAAAATAAGAGCAATATATTCATACACAGTATTCATAGTCTTAATAAATTAATGCAAAATAATAGTCGGTAAGTACCCTGCATAGCCAATATACAGTACTGGTACATGTAGGTACCAGTATTGACTTTGTGAAAGCACATCAAACAACACTTATTTCCTTCCCTCTTTAAAAGATATTCTGACTACGTTTCGGGTCTGAAATGCACTTTATTATTTATGTAAATATGGATCTTATAGTTGCATATATCGTGTTCATATTTATACAAGATGTTGTAAAATTTGCAGTCATTAACTCACAAGTTCATACTTGTATGAATAACAAGGAAAAGAAATTAATATGTCTGGTGTACAATCCGCATGACAGAGCAATGACACTTGTTGGAAACGCCTTTTTGTTTGCCTTCTCTGTATCACCCACATCACAGATTGGTGATGTTCCTTGATTTTCCATTTGTATCAGAGTTGTTTACTTTGACAGATGTCCTTAAATATTTTGCAAAGTCGACAAAGCAAAAGAGGGGCAGTTTTTGGTTGGGGGGGGGGGGGATAAATGTTTTAAACTTTTGATCTTAAGAAAAAAAATTGTTGGATTTAAAACTAAAAATTAAGCATCAAATATCTGTGATTAGGATTCGTTTACCAAGTATTATGAGAGAGAGAGAGAGAGAGAGAGAGGAGTTTGGAGAATCTGACATTTTTTTTCCTTGGGGGGGGGGGGGGGGGGGTTTAAAAGAAATTATTGAACATATGTCTTCTTCATATAGCTTCTTCAAATATATCATGTAGATTGACATAAGAGGATTACATAATGTGCATGTGTGCACAATCCAAACGTTTCTGAATTAATATGGTGTTTTACAAAGGATACCTGGCATTTAAAGAAACATTTCCCTTTAAATTGTTGAAGAGGAAATGCACTGATCTGAGGAATCAACTGTTACACAGTACATGTAGCTACACATACGCAACTCATTCACATCATTCATCAATTCTTTTCCTGTTCGAGGGGCTTGAAATCTAATTTTAACTGAACCTCCTATTATGTGGAGCACTCCACTTGGAGAAAGAAATAAAAATGACAAGACAAGTGTTTTCTGAGTCTAAATATACATTTAATGGGCAACTTGACGTCTGGATGTAATTTACAGTGTCATGTACATGTATCTGGTGCAACATACAGTATTTTCACATTATGCAGTACATGATGAAGTGTAAATGATAATGATAATACTATCAAATATTTAGGAGCGCTAACAAAAATAAGTACCATAGTGCTTTTACAAAAACAAATATGAAATAAGGACGAAAATGTACAGTCTCACAGAAAGCAGATCACATAGATCACTGGGGGAAAAGTAAAGTTTGAGGGATCTAATGATCAATAAAACATAAATAAATAAAAAAATTAAATTAAAAAGTTTTGAGGGATCTTTTGAAGGTGTACATGTTTATGTGAGCTTTGTGTGACTGATTTATATTGATAATTTAAAAATTATTCATGATTTCCAAATCTATCGCATGCCCCAAACCAAATCACAGCAGCAATTTCCAAATATATGGGGCGGGGGGCTCGTGGGTTTAATATACTGTACCTGTACATGCCCACTTTAGAGCCAGTTGTAGCCAAGTTTGATTTCACTGCTGTCATAATTGCGGTTTTATGCCTTACAACCTGTACCTAGAGAGCTACATTTGAGTGTTTTAGGCTCACTCTTTATTTCATGATATACCTGTATAGGGTTATGTCCAGAAACTTTTCAGAGTATCAGACTTTCTTTGCTTACTTGAATGTCTGTAAGGAAAAATCAAAGATCAAATCAAATAATAATAATAATAATACAAACAATTTATATAGCGCTTGTGACACAAAAGTTTCAAAGCACTGTTCACAAATCAAGATTACTTTAAAAAAAATTAATATTACTAATGGAATTAACATTACTTAAATTACCAAGAAAACAAAATATTACTAACATAACTAAATGAATTAACATTACTTAAATTACCAAGAAGATCAAACATTACATTTTACTAAAAATCAATTGTGGTTCCATTCTCTTCATCTTCTTAGCTACATATTCCGCCTGAGCTGCACCCGGCTAGGCCAGTGGGCCATCGGCTACGTCACCCAGGACAAGACAATCCTACAAACCATTCCACAAAACAAGTCTCTCTGTCAGGCCCTCATCGATGGTAACAGGGAAGGATTGTAAGTATCCCTGTATTCAAAATGTCCTGATCCCAACTTTCATATAATTCTCTTTGAAAGAGTAGGCTAACTTGCGGACTTTAGGGAGGGGGGGGGGGGGGGGGGCTTCATGTACTTCATGTTGTCTGCTGTAATGAGCATAGCCACGTCCCTGGTTATGTAGCTAACTTTTTAGCCAACTAGAACAGAAGTTTAAGTTATCGGCAAAAACTCCTGAAGAATAAACAAAGATCTACTCTAAGATTGAATGATGAAAGATTATGTGTCCTAGATAAATGTAATTCAGAAGACATCCTATCGTGTATGTATAGGGGATTTGTTGCCTTACAACTCTTGATTTACCCTCCCAAACTGTAGATTAGGCTTCTATTTCACCAAAATATATCTGCTTTCTGTACCCTGAACAACCCGGCCTAACGTCGGTACTCACCAAACCTCCAGAAGAACTCATATATGTTAGAAATTTTAAAAAATGTATCTGCTTTCTTTTCTAGCTATCTGTACCCTGATGGCTGCGAGGACAACCCAGACCTAACGTCGGTACTTACCAAACCTCCAGAAGAACTGATCCACGTGACAGCAGACCAGTATGAGCTCTACTGCGAGATTGGATCCAGCTTCCAGCTCTGTAAGATCTGCACAGAGAACGACAAAGACATCAAGCTGGAACCCTGCGGGCATCTGCTCTGCTCACAGTGTCTTTCTGCCTGGCAGGTAAATGTCTTTGCGGATTACGGAAAGGAAGTTACAGCATTTAGGCGTTTAAAGAATTCTTTGCTGAAAAAAATGCCCTGTTTTAAGATGTGGGAGAGGGCTTGGGACAAAAACAAAACAAAAACAAACAAAGAAACGTGTAATACTGATTATATTTATTATTATTATTATTATTCATTTTTTTGGGGGGAAGGGAGAGACAGTAGGATAAAAAGGAGTCAATATGCTTTTCTTGCAGTCATAATATGGTGTCTTTCCTGAGCTTTTTATTCAGCCTCTTTTATCTTTTAACATGAAATGGAAGTTATTGAACAGAAAATTTATATTCATATTATTATAAATGGGTTCTGTCTTTCTTGAGCTTATTTTATACTTACAGAAAGATTTAATGGAATTATTGAACTGTATTTCAAAGTCAAGTTCATACCATGTCATTCCAAAGTGTGAAGTTTGAAGAGCAACCAGTACATTACACAGACGGCTGAGAGCCAGAAGGGTATTGATCTGTATCACTTAACACAGAGTTAACACCCTTCTGGCCCGCAGTATGTGACATGCTTGCCTAATGATGATGAACATACTTGCTTTCAGTATTCATTACCCAACAATTGGTACTCAAACTTTAAAGGGAGAAGCGTCACATAGTCTGCCAACAAAAAGTGCTTTTATTGGACTCTATCCAGTAAAGCATGTTGACTACTGGTAGGAAGTTAAACGCTTCATAGTTCAACCAAATAATACATATTTGTGAGTGCATTAATGCATAGCACTAAGGCACTTGCAAACATTTATTATTTGTTTTATAAGATGGGTCTACAATTCAATTCAATTCAAAGTTTTATTCAACACTCTTCATAAAAACATTTAAAACATACAAATACAGAATGGAATGATAAAAAACAAAATAGTGATAACAAATAACAATGGTAATTCATGAGAATATTTAGGATAGGCAGAAAGGAGGGATTCCTTAAATGAAAGCCTACCCTAAACACACACACACATACAGGAAAAAAAGAAACAAGAACAAAAAGAACAGAACAAAAACATACTAAAACATACTGTCATGTACAATCCGAGTACAATATAAGTTTAAAGTTGAGAAATTGATGGTAGCTATCACCAAAATGCACTCCCCATGCATGAATTTTTAAAACCTAACCCAGCCAGTCTAGCGTTGCATTTGATTGGCTCAAAAGAAAGCTATACGTCATGCCCTAGTCATAAATATCATAGTACACACGCATGCAGAATCTGATGCGATAATAATGTGATTGCATAGTGCAAAGCTATGTTTACGTAAAATAAATGACATCGCAAAAAAAAAATCGGGAGGATTACTGTAAACGAATCACTACCCAGGTCGAAACTTGTCCATAATCATTGTGACATTCCTGTTATGGTAGTCAAGAATCTTGCCCATTTAATTTTTATCTTCACCTCACCGTACCAATGCAAATATTCAAATGCAGCACTACAAGTATGATGGCTGGTCTAGGTTATGCTATGGTCACAAATGTTCGTACGAACGATAATTTCGTACGAATCTCCCTGTTTTTCCATTGTCTTCCCGAATTTCCATTGTTTGAAAATCGTTTGTACGGCTTTCGTAGCAGTTTGTAATGGCATTTGTGACCGAGGCTTTATGGTAAAAATGAATGCACGCACACGTGACCCATTTCGACGCTTCTCATTGGCTACATTCTATAACCCATTTTATGATAAGGGATCATGTATACTTGGTGGCCTCATCATACAGTATATCCACATTTACCAATTTGTTTTTTTAATGATTACAACTTTTTTAATCCATGACTTTTAATCTGTAACTGATCTGTTTCTACTTGAGGTTTTTGATATCTAAAATGATGCATTGCAAACAAATGGAGAGGTGCTCGTAAAGTATAACTTAAGTTGCCAATTTGTGTAGAGATCTTTAAAGTGTCAAAAATTTGTAACTTTCTTGATTTTACTTTCAATTCTGTATTATTTACGGTATGTTTTTATTCAAATCAACTTGATTTTTTTCAAAGGGTGTCTTTTCCCTTTAAGCATCACAACTATTCTCCCAATTACTTGTTGGGATCAAGTACATATCAGAAGCACTTCATCATCATTTCTCATCCATACCGAAATTGAAAACAAAACTTGTGCCTCCGAACAGAAAGTGATAGATAATTAACGATATATACCAGTACACGTCTACATGTATGCAGGAAGCCCCAATGGCACTGTGCATGTTATACATGTTATAGGAAGGGTATGGATAATAAATAATGAAGGGAATAATAGTTTGTAGTATATACATGTACTTTCCCATTGTTTATTTAATTTCAATTTATTTACGAACAAAAAGATGTTTTTTAATGATCATGCCAAATGTGGATATCCCATAGTTTGCGGTCAACCACACATGTGATAGTGAAAGTTTGTTCCTTAATAAAGTGACAGTCATTGGTTAGAAAGTCACATGTTCAGGAAATAAATTGCTCAGGATCATTTTATAATTAAATTTATTAAATTAAGTGTATAATATTTAATTATGAATGTTGTAATTGAATAATGAATATGTTCACTTAGAACTGCGTTGTAAAATATGGTCGAACACTCTCAATGCAATATACATGTAAGGCATTTTAATGATGATGATGACTTTTAACTGATTATTAAGTACCTTTTTCAGAGAAAAATGTACTTGAGCTTTTCCCATTGACATTCTAGTTCATATACTATACTGTATGGGAGCATATTCTTGAAAGCTTTGAATATTTGTGTAAGTAGAAACTTGATTGTGTAAATGTATCCCTCAATCAAAATATTCAAGATTCTATATAATTTATTGTCTGATTTAAATATATATATATATATATATATATATATATATACAAACAACATAAACAATATATGAATACAGTCAAGGATACGAAGAAAATACAACAATAATGATAACAATAATAATAATAACAATAATAGCAGTAACTAAACTGACATGTAAACTTGAAAACTGGCATTTAAAAATGAATCTCGATAATGCACAGAATGCATGGAATAAATGAGTTTAAAAGTACTCTGAAACATTCACCCCTCCTCTCCCAGAAAAGGGGTATGAGGAAAGAACAGAGAAAAGAACAAATGAGAGAGAGAGAGAGAGAGAGAGAGAGAGAGAGAGAGAGAGAGAAAGAGAGAGGGAGAGGGAGAGGGAGAGGGAGAGGGAGAGGGAGAGAGAGAGAGAGGGGGAGGAGTTGCATGGAGTAGAACAGAAAGGAAATGTGAGGGAGAAAGAGAAGGAGGGAGACAGAGAAGGTGACAGAAATCGAGGAGCTCTGGGAGGGAAGAGATGCATACATAGTATACTTTTTGTCAAATATCCAGTGTATAATTAAATATTACTTGTATGTTTTATTTTGTAACCCATTATTTCTCTCCTCTCTCTCTCTCTCCCTCTCTCTCTCCCACTTTCTCTCACTCTCTCTCTCTCTCTCTCTCTCACTGTCTTTTTTACCTTATCAGATGAGGATTAATTCAAACAGGGTAAGTTTAACAAGCACATTCTACAGGTTTTCTATTTCTAAGGAATATTATATTGTTAAATGTTTATTACTAAACAAACAAACGTAACATCAGGAATGAAAAATAGAAAAAAAATAGTAAAGTAAGTAATCTATGTAAAGATATGAATTTGAGAGGAAGTCTTTTAAAAGAATAAAACATAAAACTTTTTGTTGTAATTAAGTGTTTCAAACTGGCAAGTAGATACATTTTGAAATTGAACCTTGCAATTGCCCTACTGTCTTGTCTAGTAAACGGAGCTAAAGATATATATCTGAAGTAAGCTTTCTGGATAAATCACTATGTTTACATGGGTTTCAAATTGGCAACATGATGTCTATTTTGTGAGTAAATACATTTTGAAATTGAACTTTGCAATTGCCATTGTCAAATGGTCTTAAAAGTATGCATTACTTCCTGGTTCTGGAGTATTGTTTACTCAAGAAGGACAATGTGTCATGGAGAGGCTTCAGAAAGTACAAAGATTGCCCATAAAGATCTGGGGAGTGTTTCACAAAGAGTAAGATCGACTTTAAGTTGGACTTAACAATGGCCGGCCGTTCATGCCACTGTTCGCTCTCACCATTATGATCTTTAGATAATGTTTTTTCCTTCAATAATGAATTATCAAAAAAATGTAAATGCAGTAGATTTGTGACCAAAATTTGTACATGTACGTCCCTTGAGGGACCAATGCCAGTAAACGGTGAGAGCAAACAGTGGCATGAACGACCTGCCATATTTAAATCCAACTTAAAGTCGATCTTAGTCTTTGTGAAACACTCTCCTGGTGTCTTGTAAAGCCGCTTTCCACTGAGTTGGCTGTTATGGGCTACTTAAAATTTGTTGATATTCATAATCATAGTAAATATTCACATAAACACTAACTAACTCCATACATGGATTATTATGATAGGAAAGGAAAATACATGTAGAAAGATCACTCATAAAGATTTTAATTCCTGGAGAGACTTTAGATGTAGTTGGTCATTGTATTTAGTATGAGCTTATCAAATTTAGCTACTGTTCATAGTAATGATAATGATAATCATTGTAATGATTAAGTTTTATATGTAATTTAATTAATATAGTATAATTACATATGATTTCATAATTCAACATAAAATGGAATGTGCATCACCTTTACATGTACATACAGGTAATGATTATAAACATAACTAGATTGATTTTGTATGTAATAATCTTAAGTGGCTCTAACATTTGCTGACCAGATTAAATGTTTCATTGCTGAATTTGCCAGTTTGGACCTCGTGATAGTCATTCATGTTGAACTCCTTTTAAAAAAAAGGGGTTTTTAATTTTTTACCCAGGCCGCACAGGCAGGCATTGTACATGTAGGTTGCCGATTAGGACTTTAATAGGTGCTCAATGGCTCCTGGGGAAACTGTCATCATAGTCTCCAGAAATAGGAAATAATAAATCCTTAAGCACTTTCTGGGTCCTCTAGGAGACCAGTCAACATTGGTATTTGCTTATTTCAACCCCATAACATTAATGCTCATGGTTTCACATGGCCAATTTGAAACCCTGCATGACAAAGTAGTGATTTATAATTTTTTTTAGAAAGCTTCGTTAAATTATTGAGATATAATCCTAGTGTCTAGTATTTATGATACTGTGATATTTAAGTTTTATGCATACAGTTCTTTCTTGATAAGAAGACTTCTAAATCATATTTGCTTGTTCATGACATCGTGTTGCCAATTTAAAATCCTCCATCCTCACGCAGGACACTGATGGTCAGGGCTGTCCGTTCTGTCGCTGTGAGATCAGAGGATACTTTGATATTCAATTCTTATGCATACCGTTCTTCTTTCTTGCAAAGAAGACTAGAAGACTACTAAATCATATTTGCTTGTTCATGACATCGTGTTGCCAATTTGATATCCTCAATCCACTCGCAGGACACTGATGGTCAGGGCTGTCCATTCTGTCGCTGTGAGATCAGAGGAACAGAACCAATCATCATCGACCCCTACAGCCCCAATCGGATGAAGTCCGCTCGCAGGAAAGCAGAGGAGGAAAAAGAAAAAGAGGAAGAAAATAAAAAAGATCGAGATGATGATGTTGATGTGAGTCGAGTAAAAATAAATTGTAGATAATATTGTCATTTGTGAATAGATTATACTTTAAATTTGTGTTATTGGTATTTTGAGGGCAATTAATGGTAAAGGGTTTGCATTCATGATATCGAGTCTGTCTGGAAAAAGAAAATGGGAGGAGGAGAAAGAGGAGTATAAGACTGATGGAGACGATAAAATGGATGCAGGTCAAGTCAAAAAAAAATATCTGAAATTTTTCCCTGTTGAAAGTTAGTATTATAGTCAAGTCAAAAGAAATGGGTTTTAATTTCATGCTGTAGAAAAGTGAAGAAAAGTCCTGCAATTTTGTCTTGTTTTCAATTGATCCCTTGAATAAGATATTTAATTAGTTCGGAAGAAAACTAATGAAATCTTGGTAAATTTGGAAGATTTTACGACGTAAATGCGTGTCTCTTTGATTCTATGATTATTCATTAAATTTGTATGTTCTCTTTGATCACTTGGAGATTATCATGTGACTCAATTTGTTCTCTCTACCCAGCTTCCAACTAACCACGCCCCTACCCCGCCCATACCCACCCACATCCCTACTCCACCTGTACCCGACGAACCTGTCTACGCCGCCCCTAAAAAGAAGAACCAGGCGCACCCCTTACCAAGCGTTCCTGGTCTCCCTCCACGCCCCTCCCCCATCTCCTCCCCAGTCCACTCCCCTAACATCTCGCCAAGGTCCTCGGTCCAGTACGGGGGTGCGAGCAACGGGACCGGTCCCTTGTCACCGACACCCCTTCTGCCACCCAGGAGGTACCTGAATGATGGGAGCACGGAGGAAGGGCAGCAAGATGACCCGGAGGGGTCGTATCAAAATACTGGTAAGGATCCTCACAGACATCAGAATTCTATATTGAACCTGCATTTCAATAGAAACTTGTAGCTATTGAAAGGACATTTCATCATGGAAGTGAAGATTATACAGAACTGGAAGACCAGAGCCCTGTCTTACAAAGAGCGCAACTATGTAATAAGAGACAGGAGACTGCAAACCTGCGATTGATTGGAAGACTTGCGATTGATTTGGATCAATCGTAACTTTTTGTAAGACAGGGCCCAGAATTCTAGTGTAGCCGTATTCCAGATTTATTACTAAATTATACCCTCTTTGCATTGTATCAATTGAGGATGACATATTTTGTTTCCATTCAGGTCAAAGTTCACCTTAATTTTTCAATCTACAGGAATCCGATGCAACTTGTGAATTCATCCATGTCCTCACTTCAACTTTTTTTCTCATTTGAAATCCTTGCATATCTATTTCATGTCATTTCATGCTCTTTCTTGCATTGTGTTCAAAACATCCCCCTCCTCCAAAAAATAAAGAAGAAGAAAAGCAAAAGCAAAGGACGGTTATGACACACTTTTGCTAATGAATGAAAATGCATCGTTACCCTGAAGGTCAATCTACTTTTGCTCATGTTGCATTTTGCTCTAGAAATCCCTTTTTATTTTCTCATTCACATATTTTTTCTGAAAGAAATACTCCCTTATACATGCATATCTTTCTCCTGGTATTCCATGTTTATTCTGCGCTTATATTTCCTACTCTTTAAAAAAAATGCATATTCAATAAAAGCATATTGGGGTAGTAAATAAATATTTAGGCAACTGACCTAAAATGCGCAAATTTGTAAATTCTGCAGATAAGCAAATTTCTGTTTGGAGCAATCCTTGCAAACTTTTGTTAAGAGAGGAAAAATGGAAAAAAAATTCTTCTAATACTTGTTTTACCAAAAAAAATGAAAAAGTTTGAATTCATGCTGATAATTTGTATAAAAGCTGCAGTGGAAGCCAACCGTTTCCTAGGGTGTTTCATTTGTTTATGGATGCTCTTGAGTAAGCCTGTTTCTGAACTGCAAGAAATTAAATATGTAAAATTGCCAGCTTTGTGCATTAAAAATATCCTCTCCTTTCTGAAAATGACTTCAAACAAAATAAAAAAGAGAGAATGAATGGTATAAGCAAATAAATGGGAATAAAATGGAGGAAATAGGGTTTGCATCCTGTCTCTTCTTTGCGCTCGTTCTCAAAACATTCCCTTTCTAACATTTCATTTGACAGCTGCTCTCAATCAGCAAGCATTTGATGAGAGCCCCCTTCTGCATTCCCATACCACCACCACTGGTTCATCATCGCACGAGTCAGGCTCCGTCACGGCGCCCGCCACGCCTTACACCACCGGCGCTGAGAACCCCGCCAACCTCCTCTACAACACCGAGGCCATGGAACGCCTCCGCCAGCACGCCGCAACCGCTTCGAACCGCCCCGGTAACCCCTTCCGACGCTCCATCAGCGAGACGACCGACGCCAACGCAGCGCTGATGTTCTCCGCCTTCGCCGCGAGCAACAACGTCGGAGAGGCGGCCGGCGCTACGGGTGATTTTCACATAGATTCTTTTCTGAGCTCTCTAATGGGTGCTACCACCACCGGGGACCACTCAAATAACCCCATATACCAAAACCAACCACACCTTCTCCACAACGACTCCTCCAATTCTTCCCCTTCATCCTCTAACTTGGATCTTACTTCTCAGTTTTGTCAAGCTTTGCCACCGCCCATCTCTTCACAATCCTTCTGCTCTGGCCCCATGGGGGGTCTTGAGACCGCCGGCGGGGGTCAGGTCAAAGGTCATGGGCTATCACCTCTTATCATGCACTCGGGTCACGCTGGTAATGGCGCTGCAGGTGGTGGGGGTGATCAGGACACTATCTACTTAAACATCACTCCTCAAGCTTCTACAGGCTCACATGGTATCTACCTATCTCTCTGTCTATCTCCTCTTTCCATCCCTTCATGCTAGCATTTTATGCAAAGCTTTTCTTATTTATTTATTTTTTGTTGCTCGTCCTCTTTGCTCCATGGAAAAAAAATTGTCTTTAAAATGCAATTATCATATCTTAATCCTTTTAACTTGATACAGCAATCACAACATATAATAATCACACAACTAAATAAAGTTCAATATCTCCGTCTCTTGCTTTCTATCTCTTTCTTTCTCTCTCTGTCTCTGTCTTTCTCTGTCTGTCTCTGTCTCTATCTGTCTCTACCTCTCTCTTTTTTTGTCTCTCTGTCTCTCTCTGTCAGTCTTTCTATCTCTTTGTCTACCTATCTCTCTCTTTCTCTGTCTCTATCTCTCTCTCCATCTATCTTTCATAACCATATCTGCATGCTAGCACGATGTATACATGTATCTGATTTTCTTGATTTGTTGCTTTCCAGTCATTTTATCTTTCAAAAGCAAAACCATCCTCTCACTGCAAAGAAAACAAATAATCACAATACTAGCAAACCTGCTTTAGTGACCACCTGTCTACAAAGACCACTTTTTGTGTTTGTCTTGGGCGGTCGCTATAGATAGGTTTGACTGTACAAGCAAACATAACTATTACAAAACTAACTCTAACACAATGAATTTCTTTGCTTTTCTTTTTAAATATTCATAAATAGCATGCATATGTCATGATCATCATTATCATCATTTATTAAAGTTAGCATTTTCCCTCTTAGGAGGGGTTTCTGACTTTCGTGCCTTGACGACCCTCCCTCCACTTCTTCTTGTCTCAAGTTAGCCTCATCAAGGCCAACCTCACTGCTTCCTCACTTCACCATATCTTTTTTTTTTGTTCCGATGAATTGCATGGAGACTTCTCGTATTTATTCAGATTTGTTTCATCGATCATTGATATATATTCCCATGCTTACACTGTATACTCGCTTTGTGTATATCATGGTAATGTGTGTAATGTCGTTTCACGAAGGTTTAAGACATGTTCGATATTTGTGTGTCTGAATCATAAACTGTTAATAAAATAATAACAATATCAACAACTAAAGGGTTACTATATCACAGAGAAACAAGAGATCATGTATATTATACCATATGACATGGATGTGCATGATACTGTATATGATCTGGACTCGCATGTAATCTAGAGCTGCATGTTCAGTTTCATTTTCTTTTGAAAATTATTTGAAGTGTTTTGATCAACCATTGTTTGAATGTGATTGCATGCCATTGTTAAGTAATACAGAATTACTGTTTAGAGGAACTGAATGAAAGTCACAGACCCACATGTAGTCAACCTGGGGAATCATACAAAATATAGGGAAAAGACAAGACTGTGAGAAAGCAATGATGAGGTCTCTATTGCCCCTTTCTTGAAAGTTTAAAGGTACGGTTCAAATTAGTGAAACTAGTGTTTATAAAAAAGAATTTTCAAGATAACAAAAAATTTTGATCACATGATTTCACTTTTTCTGTCAGTTGGGTCTGTAACTTTTTTTAGTTTTGTCTGAAAAACTTGTGAAAACATACAATTCATTGGGTCTCTGTAATTTGGTTGTAGTTGGTTTAAGGTTCTGTGGGACATAATGATTTATCTGCATGGTTTTGTTCATGTCTTTTGGTTTCGATATACATGTACAGTAACAAATACAGAGCTCTGTGAATACGTGCAAGTCTTTTCTTGTGTTGTACAGGTGCCATTATGTAGTGGCTTTTTTGAGGCACTTTACGGCATCAGATCTGAACAAGCATTAACTGGTATTTTGAAAATGTACATTGTGTAGGTACAGTTTATCATGGTTTCACAGGAAATGCCCTGTGCTGATAGTATGCGCTTCGTTGCATTCATCAGTCAGATATGGCGCATAAACCGCCACAAAAAGTAAATGACATTAATGCCGCGGCGGTACTTGAACTGAGAACCATGTGATCCAGTGTCTGGTGACGGGTCCACTAGACCATGACACCTCATACTTGTACACAAATTTAAAAAAAAAAAATTTTGGAGCCGCATAGAACTTTTTATCAGTGACCTTGAAGACTAATGCTCTGACAAGCCATGCCAAATTTTTTTTTTATTTATTCATTTCATTAAAAAATGAAACAAAAAATATCTTGATATGGCTCTTTCATAATGCTGGTGATGTTCAAAATAACCAATAGAGGTGTCCTGGTCGAGTGGATACGTTGCCGGACTGTTGATCACAACGTCCTTTGTTCGAGTCCCGCCGCGGCACTAATGTCCTTTGGTAAGACATTGATCTACATTTGCCACACTCAACCCAGATGATGTAATGGGTACCTGGCAGGAATTAATTACTTGAAAAGCTGGAGCACTGTATAAACGGCAGCTAGGATAAAGCCGGGGTAATAATATATGCGCCTCGGAATAGAATTATCTTGATAGAAGGGGCTATAGAAATGCCTATTATTATTATTATTATAAGCCGATGGTCATATCAAAAGATTTCATTATTGGATGAAATAAATGATTAAACACCATCTTGTACTGGACGCATTACACATAATCACTCTTTAGCAAGTTTGAGATTACATGTAAAACTAATTAACTTCCTCTTTTGTTCTTATTTCATCAACTAGATGATGACGCTGTCCAGTACGAATGGCCTCCCCCTCCTCGGAGCGTGAATGACCCCCCGCCTCTACCCCCTCCTCACTCACATCATGTCCATCAACAACAACAGGCCAAAGCACAAGGTAAGATTATAACGATGATGATGATGATGATGATGATACTACTACTACTGCTGCTACTGCCGCTGCTACTGCTTCTACTGCTGCTGATACTGCTACTCCTACTGCTACTCCTACTACTACCACTACTACTACCACTACTAAACTACATGTACTGCCACCACTACGACCACCACCACCACCACTACCACTACCACTACTACTACTACTTGTGTTGATGATGATAAAGATGATGAAAATGATAACAATAAGGAGAAGAAGAAAAAGAAGTAGGAGGAGGAGGAGAAGGATATTTTTATAGGACGATGGTAGTCTTTGACCTATAAAATGATGTTATGTACCCCGGTGTGCATTGCGCACTCAAGATTCCTCTTGTGAAAACTTTTCTTATAATATAATTAACTTAACATCTATGATATAATGAATTAACTAAATTAGGTAATATAAGATGAGATAAATGAGAAATTTGTCAAAAGGCCACATGGCCCTTGTCAAGTGCATCCTCTTTAAAAATAAAATACGCTTGTTGCTTGTTAAATATATGTCATCAATTGAAGTTTGATACTTAATAATATAGAAAATAATCTTCTTGTATTACTTTTTCAATTTTATTTGATATTTCAGTTATGAGAGAGGCTCCAGAGGGCTATGAACTTCCGCCCGCTTCACCTGTTATTCAGCAGCAGAATCCATTATTCCCTAAGGGTATAAGCTACAATGCTAATCAAGCATCAAGCAATGCAGTCCCTCCGCCAATCAACAGAACATCCCCGCAGGTGAGTGGAATAGTCCAGATACTTGGTATAGAGACTGTATGTAAATATGCACCTGGATTAAAATTGTACTTGGCATCTTGCGAACTCTGCACCAAAGCTAACTCAACATGGGTGGTAGACCATTTTCACAAATGTTATCAAATATAATGCAAAAATCTTTGTCAAGTGTCTTGTTACAAATTATTTCATTCATCTGTGATGAATAATTGTATTTCAATAGTCGGAATGCCATTGCTTTCATTAGTTGTTGCTAGGTAGGACAAACACTATGGTTTGTCCCACCCAACAATACGGAATGTATGCAATTAGCATTTTGAAACAATTATTTGTAAAAGTTGAATGAAATAATTTGTAATGAGGCAATTTGATTACATAACAGAAATGGCATATTAGTCCAAGTGTGAGTGACAGACCAGACCACTAAAAAGCCCCATTTCTCCTTTTTCGCAGAATTTCACATCTTGGAATTTACTCCATTATATGTACATAATTAATAACTTCTTTTCTTCTTTATTTATTTTTATTTTTTTTACATATTCCTATAAAATGATGTTGAAGACAACAAATGTTAAAAATCATGTAATTGGCTTTGAATTCATGAAAGTATTTGCAATTGATTCTAACTCTCTTAGCTAACCAAGACTTGATTTTTCATCAAGTTAGCCTTCATCCATTTACATAAAGACCACATTTTTTGTTTCCCTTGAAAATGGTATCTCATCGAAACATGCACTAAAGGAACCTGTCTACAAAGACCACATTTTTGTTTCCCTTGAAAATGGTTTCTCATCGAAACATGCACTAAAGGAACCTGTCTACAAAGACCACATTTTTGTTTCCCTTGAAAATGGTATCTCATCGAAACATGCACTAAAGGAACCTGTCTACAAAGACCACATTTTTGTTTCCCTTGAAAATGGTTTCTCATCGAAACATGCACTAAAGGAACCTGTCTACAAAGACCACATTTTTGTTTCCCTTGAAAATGGTATCTCATCGAAACATGCACTAAAGGAACCTGTCTACAAAGACCACATTTTTGTTTCCCTTGAAAATGGTTTCTCATCGAAACATGCACTAAAGGAACCTGTCTACAAAGACCACATTTTTGTTTCCCTTGAAAATGGTTTCTCATTGAAACATGCACTAAAGGAATCTGTCTACAAAGACCACATTTTTGTTTCCCTTGAAAATGGTTTCTCATTGAAACATGCACTAAAGGAATCTGTCTACAAAGACCACATTTTTGTTTCCCTTGAAAATGGTTTCTCATTGAAACATGCACTAAAGGAACCTGTCTATAAAGACCAATTTTGTTCTTCCTTTTGGCGGTCTCTATAGACATGTTTGACTGTACCTCGTAAAATAGCATATTTGATCACTTAATCACCTTCAAAAGCTAGACTTCATCTCTTCAATCTCAAAGTACCGTAGTCCTTTCTTTTTCGGGATGATCTATTGTTGATCTCAGATTTTTTTCATTCTCCTAAAATCTTTTCTGTTACTTCATATTGTTGGATAGCTGGACATGTTCTTTGTGTGAATATTTAGTGTCATATATATAAACATTTACATGAGTCCTACATAAATGCATGCTTTATTGTTGAATAATCCTATTTATACATAATACATATATTGTTGTTTATCTTGTACTAATGTTGAAGGTATTACTCATTTTTTTAAATTATGCAAGAGTTTATATTCCAAAGGGGGGGGGGGGGGGGGGACAAAATATGCAATTGAAAAGCTATAGGCGTTCAATTATTAATCAATATATAATGAATATAATCAAGAGAAAGAATTCAGTTACTAATAATCTCTGACCACTATTTTGTATGCATGATTTGAAAATTAAATTGCAAATTCCTTTTCAACTTACAAAATCAATATAAAGATTATTGACTAGTACTTAAGCAGGGGCTATTACCCAAGCATGATGTATTTTGGGGGTATTTTTAGTTGATTCCCATGTAATAATTGAACATATTGAAGACTTTGTTGCATTGTACTTGCTTTATAGCAGCTCACAAGTACACAGTGTACCAAATTAGGATGAATATGAACAATTGGGTGAATTAGGGCAAGAGTTTCATTTTTTTTGACACACTGTGTAATTGTTTTGACATAGAATGATGCACTCATTTTTTTGTTGTTGTCATGATAGATAAAACAATGAACAGGGTTCGTCTAATACCTTGGAATTATAGAAACTTTGTCAAACTTTTCAAATTTGTATAGCTTTCCTACGGTTGCGTAACTGTGTAGCAAGAAGGCAACTTGTTTAACTTGCTAAAGGACCTTGTTTAAGTCGAGAAGGCGAGTTGCTTTGACTTGCCGTGGTGTCTTATTTAAGTTGAGAATGCGAGAAGACTTAGCGACTTTTAACAAGTCGCTATCGTGGCCTTTGATAATAAGGCGTCTCAGCGAGTTGAACAAGTCTCCTTTTCGCTGCACGTTTAAGCTTCTGTACTTCTCATGCTGACATCTCAGTTCAAACCAGTCCTGGGGCCCGTTTCACAAAGCCTTTTTTTCAATGACAAATTACAAATATCAGTGACAAATCTGCTGATAACCAATCAGAAGCAAGGATTTCAGTAGCTGATAACACAAATTGTCATTTGTCACTGATGACAAGTTTTGTGAAACGTCCCCCTGATCACGCCGGCCCTGTTCATCCCATTTTTCCTGGTTCAGAATTTTTCAGTATTATTTAACCATATTGTATTCTTGATTTCTAGTACATGTACTAACCATGCTGTATAATCATCCTTTATTATCATGCACGCCACGTCACGTTCAGATCTCTAATCCATCTTCCTGGCCTATTTCTGTTTCAAGTGGTAAGATATTTGTGTCCTTGACCCCTGGTGACCCCCCTCTCCCCCACCTTTGACCCCTTCCCCCTCTCCTGACCTTCCTGGTATGCTTTGTTCTATATGATAAAGACCAGTTCTGGTCATGCGATTGCATTGTGACAGAAACGTTGTTGAATCGATCAGAAAAGGTTGATCATCAGCATATAAGTATTGGTGTGTACTGCAAGGTTCTGGAATCATCTTTAACCCCTGGTGACCCCACTCTCCCCCACCTCTGACCCCTTCCCCCCTCCTGACCTTCCTAGGTGTGCTCTGTTATAAAAATGTGAACTTTTTAATGCAATGAAACCATAAAATTTGTCACCATTTTGAAAAAGAGGATAATTCATCATGGGCTAATTTGTTCTTCTTCTTAGATTTGTAAAAATTGAAGAGCTTGACACGACATACAAAAAAGTGTATGCAAGCCTGTCTTAATAGCCACCTCTGTGTAAAGGCCACCGGTCCAAAGCGGTGACCTACAGTATATTACCCCCCTTTCCAAAAGAAAACATGCATCGAAGAACCTGTCTATATACATGTAGACCACCTGTCCACAATGGCAAAGTTTTGTGTTTCCCTCGGTTTTTATTAAAAAACATTTACTTCGACCCCTTACACCTATTTTTATTTTTGCCAAAATAATAATATAATAATAATGTTTGCCCAGGATAGGGTTAATAAATATGTGATTTGGGGACATTCTTGTGGCATAGGCATGTAGTCATTTTTATCAGTTTACTCATCCTGGCAAAACCTTTTGTTGTAACAAAATGCAAAGGAAGAAACTACATCATGGACATTATTCTCTCCTTGATATACTATTTGTATCAAACTTTCAAGTATCTGATAGCTTTACACAAAAGACTTTTATACCCCCCCCCTCTCCATAGTTATTCCAGCAGAACACTTGTTAAAAATGCAGAGATCCATGGTGCCATGTCTTGTTGTAGTAGTAGATACCCACATAGTTCCCACCTACCCATGAATATCTTGTCTTAACCTGTGATCTTGTGAAATCGTCATAACCAAGCCGCTCTGTGTTATGCAGAACCTGCTATCCCTTCTTTCTTGATTGTCATTATGCTTCAGAGTATTGTGTTTGTTTCGTATCTGGTTGTTGTAGGTAGTTTGCATGTGTTGCCGAGCCTTTAATTACATAAATGTACCTTAATGTCACATAACTAGCTGCGTCATAAGTTTCTGTTTCATGACAAGATAATGTATGGTCATTCATTGAGTCAAAATGTTGAAGGTCAACTTTCTTGAAAGCTGTGCATATACATTGTATATGAGGGTTAATGTACTTGCATGTCTATCGTGGTCATTATTCATACTTTCTGATCGTTTGGTCTTTGAAACTTAAACCATTGTGACTCAATCATCATTGTTTATCCTTCTTTCTTCAAATACAAAATGGTTTCGTTCTTTACAAATCAAAGGCTATGGAGACTCAAGGAACTAAACTGCATCTAAAAGCAAAAAGACATTGAAAAAAATACTGCTGCAAAATTAAATGAGATGAATTTTGAGTGCATTGCACTTCTTACAAACAGACCAATGAGTCTGTCTATACAGCTATGTATTTACTCCCTAAATGAATTAGCCTTCTGGTATACTTAATGATTTGTCACTAAGTTTTGTGACTGTAGTGTTTTGAGACAGTTTACCATCTTGTGTCTGCGTATCAGGTTGAAGAGGGGAAGTCCATCCTGATATTAAGTTGGTTTTAATAGAAGCAGAATAATAAGAGGAACAGGTCAGTGAAAGTTTGAGAAAATTCCGATTAAAAATAAGAAAGTTATTAATTTTTTAAGGTGCGGTCAATCAAACATAAATTGGCAACCCATTGACGTATTTTACGACATCCCCTCCCATTTGCCCTGTTCTAAAAAAAACTTCAAACATTTTATTTTCCTTTAGGAAAATTGTCAATCATACATTCATCCTTAATATGGTTATGGCAAAAATGGTTTATGCAACCCCTGTATGAAACAAATCTAATCTTTCATCAGTAACAAAGAAAATTAAAGTTTATGACATTTTCTGTACAGAGCAAATTCAAGAGACTATCTCGCAAGATACATCACAGTGTTGCCAATTTATGTTTGATAGATCGCAACTTCGGAAATTCATAACTTTCTTATTTGTAATCATAATTTGCTTTAACTTTCGCTGACCTGTTCCTCTCACTTTTCTGCTTCTATTAAAACTAACTTAATATCAGGAGGGACTTCCCCTTTAAGGTGGCAAAACCAGAATGCTAAGGCTACATTTTTTTCATGTACATGTTTATGTATGTGATGTCACTGTCGTGCATGCAAATGAACTAACAATTCTGTTTGATTACCCTCACTTTGTATCGATTGCTGTATGATCTAACAATCTTGCTTTATTGAGTTGCTTTAGGAATATACTACACATAAGAAAGGATGTCAGACTACTTGTATATTGAATGCAGTGTGTACTTGTGTCATTTCTGTTTGAAAGAAAATGAGCCTAATTCTCATTAATTCTCACAACACTGCACAACTTTAAAAGTATGAAGACCCATCAACTATAGGGTGGCCTGTACTTCTACAGAAGAAGAAGAAGAAGAAGAAGAAGAAGAAGAAGAAGAAGAAGAAGAAGAAGAAGAAGAAGAAGAAGAAGAAGAAGAAGAAGAAGAAGAAGAAGAAGAAGAAGAAGAAGAAGAAGAAGAAGAAGAAGAAGAAGAAGAAGAAGAAGAAGAAGAAGAAGAAGAAGAAGAAGAAGAAGAAGAAGAAGAAGAAGAAGAAGAAGAAGAAGAAGAAGAAGAAGAAGAAGAAGAAGAAGAAGAAGAAGAAGAAGAAGAAGAAGAAGAAGAAGAAGAAGAAGAAGAAGAAGAAGAAGAAGAAGAAGAAGAAGAAGAAGAAGAAGAAGAAGAAGAAGAAGAAGAAGAAGAAGAAGAAGAAGAAGAAGAAGAAGAAGAAGAAGAAAGGAAGAAGAAGAAGATGATGCTAGAGATATCAGATTGCTGATATTGTATTCAATGTATACCCACTGGGTTTTTACTGGTAGAAGAAAAAAATAAGCACATTTCTCAGTTTCCTTCTGTCATACAAGGATATAAAGATGATTTAAATAAACAGGGTGTGTGTGTGAAACTGAAAGAGAGATGCTAATCGTACAATGATTTGTGTTTGGTTAATGCCTTTTGAATCCTTTGATCCTGTTTCCTTGTATCTCATTATGAACATGACTGACAAAGAAAGCGGACAAAATATACAGTTCCTCAGGTAGACAAAGGAACATCCCTTCACTGCTATAATGTAAAAATGTGTAGAACAGGTGTCACATGCATATTCACCTTTTTACGTAATAGCAGTGAAGGGATGTTCCTTTATCTACCTGAGGAACTGTATATTTTGTCCGCTTTCTTTGTCCGTCATATTCATAGTGTATGCTCCACCGTGCATCATCATGCAGTTACTGTTAACAACTAAACTATTCATACCCTTACCAAGTTTTGCATTTTTTTTTTGAAGTATGTTAAAAATTGATTTGTCCTGATTTATGTTTCTCAAAAATGTGACATGTCAAAGCTTACATCTAAAGGTATTGGGCAACTTAGGCCCTAATTCAACCAGTCCACCTATCATTCTTGAGTTAATAGAAACTCAAAAATCATTGATTTAGTTAGTTGTTATCTGTATACCATGTATGAATGACAGGAATTTAAATTTTATCTGTGTACATATTCAGGAAAAGGGGAAGGATTCCTAGAGTGCAGTCATCCTTATTCTTTCAATGTTGTTCAAATATACATGTATTACTCTTCATATTTATTTTCAATTGATTGTATTGGTATATAATTTGTTATTCAATGAGCCTTCAATATTTCCTTTGTCTTTTGTTTCTCCCTAGACTTCACCTCCTCTCGCCCAGGCCCAGGGAGCTCAGGGAGCCCCCGCCGTTCCTCCCCCTCCCCTTCCAGCCCAGCCCCGCCCTCACCAGCCCGCCCATCCCCCTCACCTACCACCATCAAACACCCCCCGGTCAACGCCCCGTCCCCCTCTACCGCCTGGAGCAGGGGCGGCCACCAACGCAGGCAGCATGGAAGCCATCATCAGAATCCTGACGCAAGAAGGTTTCCATCGGGAGGAGGTCGTCAAGGCCCTGGACATCACCAAAAATAATGTGCCAATGGCTCGCAGAATCCTCAAAGAACTTACAATAACTTACTAACAAGGGGAAGAAATCTGTCTGTTGAAGGTACATGTATTTTAACACGTACCTTTGTAATAGTAAGAAAGGGCAATCATCTACTGAACGGTTCCAACGGGGGGAAGTCGTGAGGGCAGTAGACATCACCAAAAATAACGTGCCCATGGCTCGCAGGATACTCAAAGAACTTACAATAACTTACTAACAAGAGTAGGAATCGTAAGTTCTTCTTAGGAATTAGTCTGCTAAAGGTACATGTATTTCAACATGTCCCTTTGCACTTGGTAACAATAGAAAAGGGCTTTAATCTACTGAAGGTTTCCATCTAATACTAAGTGATTAGAAGTGGCAAAGCTCTAGGGGGCACGTGCCCCCCCCCCCCCCCCCACAAAGACTGTGAAAAAAATAGAAATTAAGAGCAAGAAAGGAGAGAAAAGGAAAGGGGGAAGGGGAAAATGACAGAAAAAAAAAGACACATCACATGGGGCACCTCCTGCACCCCCCCCCCCCTCTCTCTAAACAGTAGCCTTGTAGAGCTAGTGATTATTGAACATCGTTATAGTCATCATTATAGTTAAAAACTATTTGAGCCAGTAAAAATCACTTTTAAAATCTAGTATACCCTGACACTGCTGCTTTTCAACTGTTAGAAATGTTCACTTACAAATTATTCGCTATAAAAAGGTACTTATGATGTATGAAAACTGTGGTTGAACCATTGATTGTAGAAAGTTCAAATCCACTAAATTTCCTGATTTTATTGTTATTTTCATTTTAGTTTCTGTTGAAGCAAGTGAAAATTTGTAGGGAAGAGATTTTTTTTATAACTCTCTTGATAGAATAGTCTGCCAAGGTTATCGCGAACCAACTTACAAAGAATAACTGTTATTCCTCTCATCTCTTCAGCCAGGTTAAACAATGAGAGATTAGCTTTTTAGTTATCATGTATGTTATGCGAAGGTTACCGTCACGCCAATGCGTTTCCATTTTGATGTTGAAACCGGAGAAACGAGCTGACATCGATAAAGCCACACTGCGTTTCCCATGAAAATGTATTGATAACGCAAAGGCCGGGGAAATTTTTTGACATGTTAAAAATGTCAAATTTGACGCGTTTCAACTTCCTTTCTCGACATTGAATGGGTATCGAGACGTTATCCAACCAAGAATGCATTGTAGGGTAGAAAGGCATGCGGAAATATATGCATTTCAAAAATTAGAGAAACAAACTGACATTAAACTGAAAACAGTTTTGGTGTGACCTAATAAAGCATTATATTTGTTATGTTTGGGTAGCAGAGGCAACCTACATATTTAGATGATACGTGTAGCTTAGCATACATGTATCTTGTATTAATCTTGCTATGTAGGCGTAGTAGTCTCATTACCCAGACCTTTGTTTTATCTTGATCAAAAATGGAGCCACTGCACTGCAATTGAGAGCTGGACTCTCGATTAGACTTCAACCAAAAACAGATAAAAGCATTCATCTAACTCTCCAATCACTGATGCTAATTGAACACTTATGTATTATAAATGATCATTTTACTTCCAATGTTAATATACGTTATTTGTTTCTGTTTTATATATTAAATACATAATGATTAATAATTCATATATTCTTTTAAGTTACTGTGAATATTAGGGAAATAGTGCAGTTTGTTGCGACTTAAATATATGTATTTTTGTATAACTTTCCTCAAATGGTATGTTCATATATTTACTGTAAAAAATAGTTACCTACTGTCAAAGATATGTACTTTTGCATTTACTGACATTTTTATGTTTGAACATAGAGGGACATTGACCAAAACAGGTTGCATAGAATTCAATATCTGCTCAGAGAAATATATACCATGTTAACAATGCAAGTGGGCAATTTAAAACAAAACTTCCCTCTACTGTTATGTCTACAAATGCTTGACAGTCATCAGGCTTCAACGCTCATGATATCATCATGGTTTTTGTTTAGAGCCAAAAGGGCATTAACTCTGTTTTAAAGGTAAAGACCAGTATTGGAAATGCCCCAATTTCAAAAAATGAAATGGAAGCTCTCATTACCAATCATGTGAAAGAATATGTTTTGACTAATACATGATGATAAAAATTTGCCGGGAAACCGCCTACTAATTGATATATTTGGTAAATTTGTTTCTCTCATGGTCTGTGAGAGATATAGGGTAGTCCCATATACATCTTTCTGTGTATAGTGCTTGTAACTTTACGAAGAATGGGCCAAATTTCTTATCATTTTGATGATTCAAGAACCTTGCAGATGCTAGATACTAGATGATCAACCTTTTCTGATCGATTCCACAACGTTTCTGTCACAATGCAATCGCATGACCATAACTGGTCTTTACCTTTAACTCTGTTTTAAAGTTTATGAGTAAATTCCCTTCTGGCTCCAAACAGATGCCATTTTAATTTAAATAATGTACTGTATTTTTTTAATGATATGCACCAACAAGTCGTCTGCTTAGAGTAAAAAAAAGTGTGATTTGGGCCTTGTCTGAATTCATGTCATTTTTTAAAGTGCAGTTAATTTCCTTCTGGCTCTACATAATTTGTTGTTGTAAATGTGTTTAATTAAAAATGTATCAATGGTGTGAAGTAATTTACCGTGATTTAAACAAAAAATGACCCCGTCTCTGTGTAAAAGCCAATGCAAACTTTTGCTTATTTACTGGTATATTTGATATCAACTCATGTTTTTATGTATCCCTCTTTCATTTTTTTTTTTAAAGGATTGAATATTGTTTGTAGAATATCAGGTTTGATACCAAAAGATGAAGAAAATCATCCTGGCATTATATGATTGTGATTATTTTATTTTTGCAGCATCTTTCAGAAGTTGTTCTATTTTTTTCAAGGATTATTCCTTTAAATACAACTTGTATCTTGACTGAATAAACCACTGGGCTGAAGTCTATTTGTGTAGTAGAAGTATTGATACGTTTTGTACCATATGAGATATTAATCGTGTATGAAATAAGAAAATTGATATTGCTTTTAAGAAATAAATATCCAATTTATATTTGTATTTTTTAATATTTTAATGCATCATTTTTATAGACAGGTTTGATTAAGCATTGAATCTGAAAGAAGTATATATTTCATGCAAATCCTGGAAAAGAAATCATGATTATGTATTTATGTTGAAGTTGCTTTTGAGTATTAAACAGAAGCACATTTACACTAAGTTTTACATTCATGTATTTAGACCAATTATAATATTTAGCATATCGTTGTTTAAAGTTTAAATCGACTCAACTTTTCCAAATGTTGAAGTTTGTAATGCCTTTCACCATGTTACTATAAACAAAATGCCATGTACAAAATGAAGGTATTGCTTGCTCATGGTGAATCATCATCATCACGCGCCTGGGGGGTGTTTCACAAAGATCCTAAGTTGAAAAATCTCTAAGTTGGACAATTATGGAAAGCTGTTAGCATCTTTGAAAATATTTTGTAAAAGTAATTGTAAAAGGCATAAAATGTTGATTCAAATCATTCATATTTTCTATTACATGAGAGATTTCATGTTCTTGATTTGGAATTTATGAAAAGTCTAAAATACTTGATTTTTTGCTTTTGAATATATTTCATTATAAGGCTACAACAAATGGCTCTCCATAATATTTAAGTCCAACTTAGAGATAAGTTCAACCATTAGGATCTTTGTGAAACACCCCCTGGTCTGTTACAGACATTGGCAGTCATGGCTCACCATTCCTTTGTATTACATGTATCTATGGTGACTACACTGTATGATACATATGGAGTGCTTGGATGGTCTATTCTGCAAGCTTTTCAGCACAATTCAGTCTTTCATTTAGTATGCAATCAAGGAGACATGTGAAGAAATGTATGACAGAAAAACTTGAAGTTAATAGCATTTGAAAGGCAAAGGAGTAGAAATAATTTGAGTGAAGATATAGGTTTGGAAACCAATACCAGGTGATGAAAGCGACAGGTCTTATTCCTTCCACAAAAAACAGTGGAAGGATGATGAAGGATAGTCCAGGGACCCGTTTCACGAAGTCTTTTTTCAATGACAAGTGACAAAAATCAGTGACAAATCTGCTGATAACCAATCAGAAGCCAGGATTTCAGTAGCTTATAACACAAATTTTCATTTGTCACTGATGACAAGTTTTGTGAAATGGGGCCCAGACAGAATTGTTTTTTTGTTCAGTGATTGACTAGTGTATTCGGAGCCTGGAATGTAGAATATTTGTTTGAGAGCCTGGAATTATTTCTAAGCTACTCTACAAGCTTCAATGGATATCATGTTACTTGTTTAACGATCATCTCATGATTTTTGAATATTTTTTTTATTCTGGATGAAGAAATAATTTCCTGTCATTGTTATGGTCTTGTCACGTCTCCTAAATTTCCAAAGATATTTTCCATGCATGGTTGCGACTTTGAAGTTGAGGTATACATGTAGATGTTTCATGGTCGAGTGGTTAGGACCCTTGACAAGAGATAAATAGGTTGTGGGTTCAAACCCTTGTATAGCCATGTATCGCCCCAAGGTAATTTTATCTGATTTTATTTGATTCTGTTTACCAAGGTGTCTTAGTGGGTACTTGGTAAAATGTTAAGGTTAATCTATATGAATAGATGTAAGCATCCTTAATGAGCAGAATTGCAACTGACCCTAGTAACTTGGGTATACATGCAGTAGATTCTTTAACAAAAGATATGTTCAACATTTTTTTTAATGATGATCATGACAATTAAAAATGAAAGAAATTGTCTTGAAAGTGATTATATTGAATTTAAAGAGTAACATTGTCATGAATGGGATCTTTTGTCATTGATAATCCTGATCCAAGCAGTGTTCCATAGTTACAAAAAACTTTTAAAAATCCAGGAACCTGTCTTTATTTAAAGCAAACGATACCTTATCGGTGACCGCTGGTCATCTCCCATCAATCTCTTTTTCTTATGTTAATTGAGAACTGATTTGATGAGATAGCCACCTGTCAGTGACCTTGCAGGGTGGTCTAATCCCTCCTGTAAACTAGTACAGATGGGCTTTAAGACAAATGAAAAGCATTTCTTCACCTTAAAAGTTGGGCAGTTTAAACCATATACCGCTCTTGCAAAATATTTGAGGAATAATTTATTGAAATATTTGTTCTTTCTCCAAGAGTATCAATTTTTTTGGTAATATCTTGTATAGACTCTGTGTAAACTGCAGATCCTGACTGACAGAAAAAGCAGATCAAATGGTTAAGAATGACTCTCAATAATGTACGCTCTTGGAAGTGAAGCATTGCAACAAAATCAGACACTTTTTTAATCGTAGGATGCTAGAACCTATACGAACATGCGCAGAAATTTAAAATATTCGTAGTAGTTTATGTTTTTATGTAAAAGGCTCGCTAGAAAAAATAGAGGCTTGATATTTGGTATGGCATTTGCACAGGTTTACTTATAAATGCTTGTCAGAATTTGATTTAAATGAAAGTACTGCATCTGATATTTTTGTGATGTATATGTAAATGAAATTTATGAAAGCACATTTACCTATTTTCCTTATCTTTCATGGATTGCAAATAATACAATTGTGAAATTGTCAATATTTTTGTTGTTCGTCACAATTAGCTGAGGAACATTTTTTACATGATGTACTGTATTATACAAATTAAGAAATGTATTATATGCAAGCATATAGTCAGCATAATTGAAGCAGGAAAATGTCTCGTATTTTTATGAAATGAATATATCAGATATGTAAGTTACATGTATTGATTTCAACATTTAATTTGTTTAATGGTAATATTTTTCATTGACTTGTATTAATCATACGGTTGTTATGTGGTATATTGTATAAACTGCTACATGTGAATATGTCGTGTATAATTTCTTAAAAAGCTTTGATCGAAAATGTACTAAAAACTTATTTGTTTTAAGCCAGAAATAAAGTATATATATGAAATTTGGTGGTAAGAATGCAAAAAACCTATGGTCTGTTTGTCATTGAGAGTGATCTTACCTGTAGTTTGTATTTCTGATAGTGAGAGGGGAAAGAAAGACAGAGAGACAGAGAGAGAGAGAGGGGGGGGGGGGGGGGGGGGAGAGAGAGAGAGAGAGAGTGGGAAGGAGAAGAGGAGTGGAAAGGGGAAGAAGGAGGGATGGGGGGGGGGGGGAGATGCCTAGGGAGGGAGGTAGAGAAAGAGACACTATGAACATGACTGACAATGAGAGCGGACAAAATATACAGTTCCTCAGGTAGACAAAGGAACATCCCTTACTGCTATTATGTAAAAATGTGTAGAACAGGTGTCACATGCATATTCACCTTTTTACATAATAGCTGTGAAGGGATGTTCCTTTGTCTACCTGAGGAACTGTATATTTTGTCCGCTCTCATTGTCGGTCATGTTCATAGTGAGAGAGGGGGTTCAGGAAGGATAAAGATGAAAAGGATGAAGAGATATGGAGAGAGGCAATATGAAGAAGAGAGCAGGGAAGAGAAGGAGAAATAAAAAGGGAGAACCTGAAATACTGGAAAAGGGATGTATGCTATAGAGAGAGAGAGAGAGAGAGGGGAAATAGGGTAAACATAATTCCTAACAATTAAATACATTTGCAAAGCCTATGAAAAGTAATAAAATTTGCACACACAAAAAAACCTTGAAGTATTTCCTTGAACTAAACACATAATCTTACACAGAATGAAGGTTGTGCCAGTATATTGTACACAATTATACGACGCAAACAAAGATACTAATGGTGATCAGTAGTATCAGACTCTCACTTTCAGTCAGCCATTAAGACACTCCTTGCCCAGGCTTTAACCCTTTGAATCAGTTTCACTGCCATTTTATATGCTTTTTACAGGCAGGTCCTATCAAATTCCCCCATCAACGAGCTGGTATAATGAAAGTAATTGTATTCATTCATAACAATTAGTGCCACACTCATCGAGAGGAAAATTTATATCACAAGGGCATTTATATTTTACATTTCCCTCTTCTTTGTCTCATTCAGGTTTTTAGTGGCAGATATCCGGCTCATGCATGATTTCATTTGTAATATCAATTTCTTTCACTTTGGAGCACGTGATTTGGGTTTTTTCCACGTGTAATATGCCAGCGGGTCCCAAGGGCATTAACTCATATCTCATAATAATTATTGAGTTAATGACCTTATGATTCTCAGCCGATGGTGCGATTGTTTATACAACTAGGCTAGTTCCGTGGAATAATTGCATTTGACCGACAGGTGTTATGGTCTTGTAAGAACATCTCTTTTGATTTCGAAGCAGCATCTAATATATGGAAAAGGAGATTGTCAAGAAAGATTACTGAGAAATCTATCGCAAGTTTAGCTATCTTGGAAACAAGGAAAGAGAATTGGAAACTTCTTGAAGGCACTTCCAAGACGTTCTCCACAAGTTTTGTAGACAAGGCAAAAGGGTAAGTAATGTACAAAAATAAAATTGCATAAAGATTTCCATATCCATTTGTTTAAATATGCAAGTGATTAAATGAAACTCTGGCTCTACGAGTACAGTGCAGAGCAGACGGATGGAAGGAGGGAGGGGGCTGGGGTAGAGAATAGAGACAGAGCTAGTGAGAGAGAGAGAGAGAGAGAGAGAGAGAAAGAGAGAGGGAGAGAGAGAGAGAGAGAGAAAGAGAAAGGGGGAAGTATGGGGCTAATAAAAACAAAGGAAGACAATTTTATTGTAGGGTAGGTACAATAAAGACACTAAGGTGATAGATACATGTACCATATATATATATTTAATATAAATGTTTTATGGAAAGTGATTAAATGAATTACTCTAGCACAAATGACTCTAAAAGAAAGAAGAAGAAGAAGAGGAAGAAGAAAAAGAAAAAGAAGAAGAAGAGGAAGAAGAAAAAGAAAAAGAAGAAGAAGAGGAAGAAGAAGAAGAAGAAGAGGAAGAAGAAGAGGAGGAAGAAGAAGAGGAGGAAGAAGAAGAAGAAAACAAATAAGAAGAAAAAGAAGAAATTTAAAAAATATTATGTTGATACTTGCGACAAATGTTAACATGTTGCAATGAATACACTGCACACAAAAACATCACAACATACAAAATTTATGATACCTTTCATTTTATTGCATAAAATTCCTTAGTTACATTATAAGTTGCAATTCTCACAAAGAGATCTGGAGGTCTTACCATTACTGAAGATTATCCTTAAAATATTTTAAAAAATAGATGGGAAACCCAGTATTAAAAAAACAAATTAAAAATTACGAACATACACGTTAAGGCATTGTTTAACAATGTTTCCAGTTCTACAAACCTGAGATGCACGGGCCTACGTGTTATTCGTGTCTGTGATATGGTGTAATACTGAAGCCCTAAAAAAAAAAAGCTGCGCTTCAAAATGATCACGAAGTGATTAAAAAAAGTAAAAATCCTTGAGTGACAGGTTTTACCATACTCATTTTCCCCCAAAAGACTGTAGTGTTATTAACAAACTGTTCAAAACCATTTGGCAAACCGTTTTTGACATTTCTAATTCCAATCATAAATATCTTGATAATCAGACAGGCAATCGACTTGTAAAAGTCTTGGGATTTCTGACTGAACGAAAGACTTATCATTATGATTGCAACATGAGCTAAATCCAGGATTTTGTTTAGAATCTGAGGCAAAGATACCCAATCCCTATAATTTTTAGTTGTGACTTATTGAATGTTGAAAGTTGAAAGTTTTGATAGACCAACACTGGTCATAAATTCTATTTCAGAACATACTTTTTTCCCCGGTTCACTGAATGTACATTTTCATACTATTTGAAATATATATATTTTGTTGTGGATGTTGTTGAAAAGCTCACCTCAAAGTACTTTAGAGCTTCTAGAACTTGTTATTTCACAACTGCTTAAAGGGTATTGCAGGGATTAGCACAGTGAAAATGTCAAGACATGTAAAAGGGCCAAAATGTTGATTAAACAAATCATAATTGAAAACTTTACTAAAACTATGATGGAAAAGTATTGATTATTAGCCAAGTTAGAGTCATTTTTCTTTCTAAATTGGAATTTTTCGAATGGTATTGTTTTATTCACCCCATTCGTTGTGTACAAAATTAGGGCATACATTTTCACTCAAAGAGAGAAAAGCACAGATTATTTCGATCTGAAATTTTGTACATACAGGTACACATTCTTTCACAAACTCATCTCGCTGCTACAAGTTAATACAAGTTATTGAGGGTTTGCCAATCCCTGATTTTGCAAAAGTTTAGAGATCAAAGGTCAACAACAACAGGAGCCTCGTCCTCGGGCTCCTCATCAAAGTCCCAAGTGAAATGTTTTGTCAGGTTCTTCTTGAACTTCCTGCCTTTCTCCTTCAAGGCTCCCTCCGCCTCAGATTGATGCAAGTTCAGAAAAAAGTCCCTCAAGGTCACCGTCAGGAAGTTATTGCTGGAGACAATATCCACAAAGAAATCTGATGGGATCTCCCTGACCTGGAAATGAAGGATACTGACTAACGTGGAGTAGAGGTCACCATGAGTAGCCATTGCTTCGATGCAGGAACAGAGGAGATGGACAAGCTTCTTCCACTGGTCAAAGGCGTCATAGACTTGTCCTACGAGGAAGCACACAAAGGCAAGCTGTAGCTCTGCTAAGACACCCTGAGAGTCTGTAGGATAGTTTTCCGCAAGGAGTTTGTCCAGGATGTAAGTATGATCCAGGCTGTACTTGGTGATCTCCTTGGCCGTTGCGCCCTCTGGGTAGTTCTGTTCGGAGATTTTGGAGAACCTGATCTCTGTTCCTGGTTCCCGATGCATCTGAGGAAGGTGATCCTCGGGGTTCTTGCTCTTCAGGAGTTCCTTGTTGGCTTCTGCCATCAGCTTCCTATCAGCCGTTGTCCTGGTGGCCATGTTAGGGACAAGTTGAGCCACCGATACAATCTTCCCACTCAGCGGGGACAGCTGCGCGACAATATCCGCACTGATAAGATTAGTCAAAGACAACCAGCGTTTCAGACTCTCATACGGATAAGCTCCGAGGGATGGATCACACTCTTGCAGCTGGGCTTTCTCTTCCGCATCAGAACTGTCTGTCACTTTCACATCGACCAAGTCCTCGATTCCTGCATCCCATCGTTTGATGACGATCTCCCTGGGTTTGAAACAATGAAAGAAGCCTGTCCTAGGAGCACAGTCTCTACTCTTCAAATTCACTGCACTGTAGTAGACAAAGTGCACTCCCGGTGGAATCATTTTCACTCCTTTGAAGCGGTTACCGGTGTTCCAAGAATTGTAATCGATACCAAACTCTGTTCCTGGAGGAACGTTAAGGAGGATGAGAGCAGCTCCTTCCTCAAACAGGACATTAGCAGTCTTCTGATCCATAGTACTTGAGGATGCCATTTTGTCTGCTGTTGTCCTAAAAGTAGAATGAAAGTAAATAGAGTACAGTAATACTAGTTTGTCAAGAAGAAACTATCTACCAAAATCCTCCACATATTAATAACTATATATTATAAAGCATATAGACAAACCCTTTCAACTTGAAATGATGACATAATTTGGCGTGAGTGTGACATGCATCATGGAGCATCATCGCTGAATCTGTTTTTTGCATTGCCAATGCGCGGAATCGGAAATAAGGATCGATTGTCTGCGAAAATTTGGAGGTGTACGCAATTTGTCTGTGTTTACAAAGATATCCTCTTTTATGCGGACGATCCTTATTCTCAGACCAGTGGCCATGATCATCTTGATCATGTTACTATCATTATTACAGAGATGCCAAGTTCAAAGATCGGCAATGCGTGACATTTTCATGATTCGGCGCGCGATCGTGCGTGCGAGGGTATAACACACGTGTAAGGTATAGCGGTTTTTCAAAATCTAGCGCACGCGTCGTGCGTAAGAGCATTTTCAGACCCTCGAAATGCGTGATGTCACGCCTAATGCGTGATACTTGGTAGCTCTGTTATTATCCGGAACTTCACTAAAACTTCAGGAAACAGCTTTCCAAAGTGTGTTATCACCAAAGCCCAAGGCCTAACCAATGTAATGATTGAATGAATACGAAGATCAGTATAGTAATACTAGATCTAGTAGAGTATTGTCATGGATGGACACACAGGTTCATGCACAGATGCACATGCCTGTATATTTCACACCTAGATCGATGCGTACACACATTTTTGACATGGCACACACCACACTGCAGCTGCAGTGTGCAATCTTAGTTACATGATACATGAAGTAGCAGCTAATGAGGAAGAAGGACAGCCGCATGCCGCGCAGACACACACATAGGAGCATCACTATCCTGGCTGTGTAGTAAAAGCTGTGCTTTTGATTCTCAACATTTCAAAAACCACTGTACATTATCATAACTCAACTGATTTCACTCAAAATCGCTACTTTAGTGACAATTGATGACACCTAAATAGCAGTAAAATACATCTTTTTCAACTTACTGATGTTAAAAAGAATAATTTAAAAATTAAAATTGCAAGTCTAGTGTCAAACTTTGCTTACAAGTTACAGCTGCATCGACATAATTGTGTACAGTCTATGCGATATTGTGTGCTGTGTGTATCTGTGTATAGACTTCTAGGTCCCTGCCTCACAGCATGTATGCAGTGCTAGAGGTCAATACGCATTTAGCATTGACTCTCTTAGACCGAATTTTCCGTCTCTTTCGTTCGTTAGCCTCTTATTGGGGTAGGGTCGGCTCTCTCTTTAGAGACGGAAGCCGTTTATACACATGTCCTTGCTAACGCCACGGCCAGTCCTGGCCGTAGCGTTTTGCCCCCAAAATCCCCCAAAATGTCATTTTACCTCGAGCATGTTATATTGTAAATTAGGCCTAGGCTATAATAAATCAGTTCCACTTACCAACTTGACTGAAATAATCAGTTTAATAGTCCCTTTTTAGGAAATTATGGGTCAAAATCGGAATCCATGTTGAAAAAGATTTTCAAAATGGATTTCGATTTTGACCCATAATTTCCTAAAAAGGGACTATTAAACTGATTATTTCAGTCAAGTTGGTAAGTGGAACTGATTTATTATAGCCTAGGCCTAATTTACAATATAACATGCTCGAGGTAAAATGACATTTTGGGGGATTTTGGGGGCAAAACGCTACGACCAGGACTGGCCGTGGCGTTAGCAAGGACATGTGTATAAACGGCTTCCGTCTCTAAAGAGAGAGCCGGCCGACCCTACCCCAATAAGAGGCTAACGAACGAAAGAGACGGAAAATTCGGTCTATGACTCTCTATGCTTTGCTGGAGTGCGCAGACAGATCCATGATAACGGACACAGAAGGGTACACATGGGACTGACCTTACAATACACAATATTCTTCCCCTAATTTTGCGGCTCTGCATTTAATGTAGCTGTCAGAATTAAGTTCAAGTGTTGTCTATTTATTACAATTCCTTAGATCTTTCATGGCTAAGTCAATCAAAATCACTTACCGGTGTAATTGTAAACGGAGTATGACAATCGTTGGCAAAAGTTGTGAAATGATTTACAAGTTGTACATAACCTGCCATTGATGGCGCTAGAGTAGAAGTTAGCGATGATAAGATTGACAACTTCTCATGTTTAACTTAAATTATCAAAAATAAAAAGAAAAGCGTTATAAGAACGTGAAAGATGGATTTTGTATCGCAAGAGTGATATTAATTGCTTCAGTACCGTATATCTTCTTTTTATAATCATCTTCTTCAATATGGTCATCATCGATCATCATAATAATCATCTTCATCATCATATTTATCATTATTTTTCATCACTATCATCATAATCATTTTCATCATCTGTACCGTATTACACTATCAATCACAATCATAGCATAATCATCATCAATATCATCATAATCAACATAATTATGTATCATTTCTACACTATATAACATGAACACCACCATTGTCAATCACATGAAGGCCTATTATCACTATCAATCATCATCATCAGAAGCGGATCTAGAGGGGGGGTTGGGGGGGTTGCAACCCCCCCCCCCCCCCCCCCTTGGGCGGCCCAAAAAAAAAAAAAAAAAAAAAAAAAAAGGAAAAAAAAAGAAAAAAAGAAAGAAAAAAAGAAAGAAAAAAGAACGCACGCTGGAGAGAAACCCTTTCAAGTGCAAATATTGTGAGAAGATATTCAACTCATCTGGTAACTTAACCAAACACATGATAACTCTGGATATAACTATGTATTAAACTGTTACTTGATTAAAAAGACGTTATCATGCACTGCTTTTTATGGTCTCCATTGTGTTAATAGATGCCAGGAAAACATCACTTACGGGGTTCAAAAAAACACCCCCCAAAAAATCGGCTCGCCGCTTCGCGGCTCGTGGACGATGCTTCGCATCGTCATTATTTTGGTCAAACCCCCCCCTTAGCAAAAAGCTAGATCCGCCCCTGATCATCATCATCATCAATATCATCGTCATCAATTCATCATAATTATCGAAGTGTGGGGATATGAAGATCTGAGTCAAATTGAAATATTCCATAGAAAATTTCTCAGGTCAGCGTTATGTGTAAATAAATTTACACCAGATTGTATGATATATGGAGAAACTGGGAGGGCATGGTTAGTTTCTGGTTAAGAATAGTAAAAGGTTCTCCCTCTAAATATTCAGTCAAATTTTATTTTTTGCAAAGGTTAATTAGTCAGAATGTAGATATGTCTACATCTTTCAAGTGGTTATCTTGTATTGAAAAAATATTGAACCATGCTGGTCTTGGTATTGTTTGGCTAAAGCAAGGGGAAGGATTTAGCAATAGTTGGATACTGAGCACTCTGAAGTTGAGATTAAACGATATTTCAAAACAAGATGTGATGGCAACAATTTGGACAAACAGTGTGTGCCTAAATTATAGGATCTTTAAAGAGGATTGTCTCTTTGAAAGTTTTTTTTTTAGTATTTAGTTTTGCTGAGTAAAAAAGATAGAATAACACTGAGCCGTTTTAGATGTAGGTCGCACCGTTTACCAATTAATAATAACAGATTCAAAGAAGCTGTTAATGAAATTAGTATTGAATGCCCATGTTGTGATATGCATGAGTCTGGTGATGAATTCCATTATGTTTTTGTATGCCCTTTTTCAGAAAGGAAAGAGAGTTATATTTAGGTCGCAAAGTAATAGTTAAACGCCCTTGCACATCACACATGTTGAATTTATTTTCATGTTCCGGTATAGGACAGCTGAAGAAATTAGTACTCTTCTTAAGGATAATAATGTCATATTTTGCTCGTCTATATACATGTAAATCTGAACAATCCAATCATATGTCGCCCATAAAAAGAAGTGTTAGGTTAATTAAGCAACCAACAATTCTTGATCTGTAGTACAGTCTTTCTTTAGGTCAAGTATAGTTTTGATGGTTTGTTTGTTCTTTTGTTCATTTTTTTTTGTTAGTATACTTTTTGTTTTGTTTGTCTTATTACATTATATTCCATTATGTTTTTGTTTGTCCAATGGACGACTATAGGCGTATTTTGTTAGTCTGCATATATCTTAACAATCCAATCTCAACTCACTTACATGTACAAAAATGAAACTTATAATTTCTTTTTTAGTTAAGACAATAATGTATTTAAAAAAAAAAAAAAAATTGTAAAATTATTTTTTGTTTTTTATCTTTCTTTTTCTTTGTGTTTGTATTTAGATTGTTCATGTGGTATTTTCCACTTTTCATGTATGCTTGCCATATTGTATAATATTGTATTTATGTTTAGCATAGGCTAGGTTTAGATCATTCCTATTTATCGTTATACTTTTATATTGTTGTTTTGTTGTATTCTGTATTATTTGTATTATTAAGCTATGTTTGTATTCTTTATTATGTTTCATTATCATGACATGTACATGTGTTGTACTCTCATACCCCAGAAGGGGGTCGAATGAGTCAATAAATTCTATTCTATTCTATTCTATTCTATTATCATCATCGATCATAAGGCATTACAAAAAAAAGATGTTGTGTTGCCCTTTGAGACTAGCCGACCCCAAAATCTTAAAATCTTCGAACGGCTATTTATATTTAAAAAAAAAAAATGCTAAATAAATGACTAAAAAAGAAAGTATTAAAGCATTCAAAACTGAAAAATATCAGCCCAAAGAGGGAGAGAGAAAAAAAAAAAAAAAAGTAAAAAAACAGAAAAAGATTTTCGACCGACCAACCCATGTTTTGGCACCTTAAGGGCATTACATTTTTTGAAAAGCCCAAATTATCATCACCATCACTAGCCACCACCGCCACCATCTCCTTCCTCCTCATCATAACCATCATCATTATAATCATAATCATACCGTCACTGACCACCACCATTTCCTTCCTTAATCCTTATCATAATCATCATTACCATCATCATCATCAATCTAAGATCATTTTAAAACACAAGCTCAAGACAGATACACTGAAGGCAACTTATTGGCTTAAAACACTTTATTCCAAACTTTAACCGTGAAATGATCAGTAAAAGTGAACAGTAACACAAAATTGGAATTTAATTTTCAAAAAATGAAGAATTAGAACTTGTAGGCCATAGCAAAACGAGAAACCTGAACCATATCCACTGAGAAAAGATCTTCCAACTCTCATTATTTTACAAGAAAGATGATATCTCATCAGACAAACCTAATGGTAAGCACAATTAAGAACGTTGTTAATTTTCTGTAAAACATTCTGTTGAGAATAATCTACATGTACTACGATTTTGCTAGGCTCTGCTTTTGAAATATGCATCTATTGTCACCAATATATCCTCTAAAATTGGTTTGTTTGCTTTAAATGATTCACAACTCTATGATACAGGAAAAAATTATTATTCACTCTTCGGTGGCACTTAAAAAAAAAAGACAGTATAGAAAGAAATAAGTGAAAAAAATGTAAAAGAATAAGAAAATGAGAAATGGGGACAGGCAGAAGGGACGACAGACAAAGATAGAAAGAAAGAGAAACACAGAAGTAGAGATATAATTAAAGGGTAAGAGAAAGAGAAAAAGAAAGGGAGAGAGAGAGGGGAGAAAGAGAAAGGAGAGATAGAGAGAAAAAAAATGCCTATTATTGGTGTTGTTTAAACTTTCAAAGAAAACGCATGTAATTATTTTTTTTAGAGAGCAATGGATATGTTTTTTTTCTCACTGAGTATCAAAGCAACTTCTTCTTTTCTCCACTTATATAATATTCACATACATGTATGCTACAAGCATATCCATGTATGCTACAAGCTTATAAATGTACAATCGGTGTATCTGACACAGTAACATCAACTCACAAGTTAAAAATTAACATCTTTCTATGTACATAATATGTAACACACAGTGTGAACTGAGTCAGCATTGATTGAAAATAAACCAATTATCATGTACAATAGGCAAAGATCTAGGGTCCCATTCAGACAAAGGTTGTAAGCCGCGTAAAGAGCATGTCGTCGCTGAACAATACAACACCAGAAGTCCAGCAAAGAGTTCTTCATTTTTCTACATCTTCTTAAATTCGGGATCCCAGTTTGTTTCTCTATGTGAGCCTGAATGAGAATTTGACATGTGGAGTCCCATAGGTACCGTACAATATAAACCTAAAAAATACTGCCCCTTTCCATTTATTCCGAGAAAGTTTTGTCACCATGTTTTATTTTTTTCTTTAAGAGTTTTTTTCAGTACCAAGTCTGAATGGGCTACAATGATAATCAAATAAGTATCATCATTCATTACATCCCAACACCAATTAATACAACTGAAAGATAGAAAGAATTAGGAGAAGAGAAGAAAATGATAGGGATAAAAAAAGCAAACAAATGATGATAATTAAGGAATGAATCACGGACATAGAAAAGATAATGGCTGTGAATATAATTTGTTCACTAATTTATAATACATACTTTATTGAATGCTCCGTAACTTTATCTACAGCATCAAATCAACCTTAATCAAATCAAATTTAGACAAACAGACTGGTGCTTCAACACTTCTACAATGCATATCATGTAATGAATAGATTTAATCACTACCAAGTAGAGATTGGGCACCACTCAAAGATAGACTTCTATCTTTATATTAAGAATCTGTTAAATTTATTAGATTTTTTTGTCAATGTTGTAAAAATTAACAAAATTACATTGAATGGCTGCAAAATATCACACTCCTTTTTCAAAACGTTCTGGGTAAGTAAAGCAAGAAAATCTTAAGCTGCGTATTGTTATAACCACAGAGCTACAATTTCATGACTTAAAACTACTCAAGAAAGTGAACAGGCTACATGAAATAAGATGGCTTTTCATAATCTGTACATGTATTGAAAACAACAACATTGTATATTCATGATAATTATCATAAAAACAATTGATAAACAATTGATTTCATTAAGTATCTTGAAAAACTAATTGTAAATGTGGATCTCACTGCAGAATTAACCTGCTTAATCCAAACTTGAAAGTTAGTGCTTCTAGAACAGTGACTTTAAGAAGGATAATTCATATCACATAGAGGTTCACAGTCATAATAAAAATATAAATGAAAAAAATAATACATGCACACAAATTATATATTATAGGGATGCCAGTATTCATTGACAATGATTATTTAATACATTAGTAACAACTACAATGATATGTAATAAAACATTATCTAGAGTGAATATAAATTCCAGATAATAATATAATTCATGAAAGAATTACAAATATAAGAATTCACGATCTCTGATTATGGTAAACATCTAAAACTTGACATTTTGCCTTGACAATAACTCAAAGGTCACAAGTTTGAAATCAGCGATACATGAATTCTTTGTTAAGAGACAAAACACAATCACAAACCAAGGCATTATTTAACGAAAGTGTCATAGGGAAAAGTTCATTGACATTTCATTGAGACATGAGGTGTCGACAAACTTGGACTTATGATGGCTTCCACAAAATGATGCCCATGTGATCAACCTTTTAAATAACTACGGTAGCTTCTGGCATAAAATATTTGTAAAGGTCACAAAATTCCACTTCAATTTTTATACACCATTCCTATAAAATATAACTCATTTTTGCTATGCTGTCTCTTAACAGAAAATAATGGAGTTACTACCCTCATCATTAAACACAAATTTTCTCCCCATTTGGAAAGAATTTATTTACATCCCGGATTTTTGCACCAATTCTTGTAGACTAACAACATTCTTACAAGTACATGTATATGTACACGTAGCAATCGTACATTCTACAGTATCAAAAAACACACAAGAAATATAACAATATTTATAAACAGAACGGATACAAGTAACTCATGCAATTAATACATCTCAAACGATAATTACAATATTCACAATATAAATGGATATCCAAAAATGTACAATCTTAAACATGATAAACGCAATCAAAAACTGAAAATTACACATGTCAATTGGCTAAAGTACTTTCTGATTTACACTAAAAACCAAGCTAACTTTTCTTTTTTTTCCTTTTCAATGTTTTGTTTAGAAATGATTTAGCAGCTGAGGGGAGCAGAAAAAAGTTTATACACAGACGAGCTCACAGACGTTGGATGCGAAAAAGGAGAAGCAAATAAGTAGTTATTCCTGAAAAGCAGAAAAAGTCAAGATATCACTTAGGTAAAAATACTCTTTTTGTTTTGTCGAAGCAAAGACTTGTTTTTCTGGTCACAATTATAATTTTGTTTTCTTCTTCTTTTGTGTCTATTTCAAATTGATGATTAATTTAAACATTAACGCTGGGTAAAATATCTTTGGCTTAACTGTCTGCAGAATTTTAATCAAATGGAATGTACATCTTTCAAAACACAAACAAAATTTTAAGGCACAGCAGAATATTTCAAGACAAATTTAAGTAGTTTATTGACATTTTTTCCTAGTACCTGTGACCATCTTATACATTTTGCCTGTGGTTTCTTATTTTCCTATCAGTTTATTTTTCTGGTACTTAAGATCTGTGATCTTGTGTTCGATGCGAAGAATATTATCAAACAAAAAATGCTAGATTGATCCATTTCCATTCCTGTTCCATGTTCCGAAACATCAGTGAAAGAATTGAAATTTTTGTTTCACTAACTATTTTCTTTCTTTAGAAATATAAATAATTCTGTGGCAGTTTTGGATGATATACCTGTAAATGAAGCTGTACACAATGTTATAGTGCAGGGTGGAACACAAGCAGTAGCCAGACACACCCATAGCCAACCAATCAAAGTCTGCATTGCACGCCCTTGGTCCTATCAATTGATAACATTTCAAAATATAAAGAAACTGAACTTGAAAGATATGTTTTCTTGTTCTACCTTTTTTTCTTTTTCAGGGGTTGCCAAATATTTCAATCGTGTTTAGCTATTGAAAGTGGGAACATATCTTTTGATTAATATGCTAAAAGGTTACCCCAAAAAGGTTACCCCAAAAAGGATCCACAGAAATTTTGGAGAATGACCTGCATTCGCGAACAAGAACATACTAAGAGAAAAAACAAGATTAAATTTATTTATATATTAGATAAATATTTTGTGTTGCAAGCATGAATTTGTGATGGGCAGCAAGATTTGAATATATTTCACTAGGTAGCTTGAGCATCAGGAACAGTGCAAAACACCAACTCATTTACAATTTGCATCTTATAATTTTCTTGATTGTTTTTCCTTATTGAATTCCGCAAGCATTGCCAATTTGGCGATCAGCAGGATTTTTTCAAGCAGGGGTATAGGATAGACATGAAAGCACGTTTACAGAAAAATTGCTGGTTTTTCTTCTAAATAGATCATGTACAGTGTCTGATTAAAATCATCATCATTAGATAACTGGTGCATTTCAAAGCATATATGCCATTTAAATTATTGATATGATACCAAATTCTTGTGTACAGTTTTTCACACATTATCTAAAGTTACAACCTAAAGCATAAAAAGTTACAACCTAAAGCATAAAAAGTTGTTGCTCTTGAATAAACGTGATAGCATCACTCTGAATAACTAGCTTTAAACATAAAAATTGGTCACAGTAATAGGAACTCATACTCCTCTATCTCTAGGGAAATGGCGGAACTTGCGAGTTATGGTATAGGTGCAGACACAAACAAAAAAGCATAAATTGGAATTTTAAAGATTCTCTTCCTCTCTCATATTATGGCTACATCGTGCAGAGAATCTGGGTTTGTTTTTATTTTTTGTTCATTATCTTCCAAGAACCTAATGTTTAATACCGACAGACAATATGAAGTCCAGTTTTGTTTTCCTTGGAGCAGTCTTTCTCAGCTGTGCAACAATTATAAAGACCATTCTCCTTGTACTCCTTTCTTAGTCAAACATGCCTTTGTTACAACCTGTATATATCAATCACCTGTCTAGAAAGACCTCTTGGTTGCTTCAAATGATTTTCCAATACAGGTTTGACTGTACATCAACTGTATTTTCATGCCAATTTCATCTTGAAGGAAACAAACGTGTAATGACCATCCTTCCCTGAACCTGCTCAACATTTTCATCTATTTTCATCATTTCATCTATTGAGAACTGAAAGGGCATTAACACCTCATACTTGAACGTATATTCATTTGAGTTAATCCATTGTCAATGGCCCCATTTCACAAAACTTGTCATCAGGGACAAATGACAGCTTTAGTTATAAGCTACTGAAATCCTTGCTTCTGATTGGTTATCAGCAGGTTCATCACTGCTTTTTGTCATTTGTCATTGAAAAAAGGCTCTGTGAAACAGGTCCCAGGTGGTTCCTGTATCAAAACCTAAAGGGATGAGAGAACTGGGTAGTCTGGGGGTTAATACTCTTCTAGTGCTCAATGGATGATCTGTCGTTGTGACAGGACTTTCAAAAGTGTTCTGGATAAAATCATTTTCTGCTCTGTCTGGTAGGTCTTGAGATGCCGAATCAATGATGCGGAGAGGATGTAGTACCGTACAATGATTATTTACAGAGCTTGTGAATCACGCTCACACCAAGATGGAGGAATAGACAACAACATCGTTTTCGTTTTTAGGAACATGTTTGTCGGTGTGGCCCGCCTTGTGTGACAGGTCTAAATCGGCGTAGAGCATGCCTTGTGGCTCATTCTGAAATAAGAGAATGAAATAAAAACAATTACTATGGCAATAACATAGAGTGATTATAACAAAAATAATAAAAGTAATAGTAATAATAATATTAATACTAAAATAATAAGAAACAGATCAAAGAAGAAGAACGAGAAGGAGGAACAAAGAAGAAGAAGAAGAAGAAGAAGAAGAAGAAGAAGAAGAAGAAGAAGAAGAAGAAGAAGAAGAGGAAGAAGAAGAAGAAGAAGAGGGAGAAGAAGAAGAGGAAGAAGAAGAAGAAGAAGAAGAAGAAGAAGAAGAAGAAGAAGAAGAGGAAGAAGAAGAAGAAGAGGGAGAAGAAGAAGACGAAGAGATAAAGAAGAAGGATAAGAAGACAACTTCAAATCATTATAACATCACCATTAGAATTCAAACCAAAAAAGAAATGTGCACCAAACCACTTCCTGGGCAGTATGCCTTAATTCTCTACTACACGCATGTGCATCATCCCCATGCATGCATGCATGCAGGGCATTAAGACATTCAACAAAATCCAACCATTACTGATTTTACCACCCTCCCAGGTCTTGCATCCCTCTCCCGGGTTCAGGGTGGCACATTCATACAAATGCATGACAACGAGACAGACAAAGGTGCAGTGCGTCGCATGATAATGCAGAACTACATGTTTGGATGGATACATTGAGCTGGAAGCTGATTCCCTTTGATTAACATCTAGATTAGAGGTAATCAAACTTGTATTTTGTTTGAAGTTTATTTTTCATGTTTATTTATTGATTATTTTTGCTAATGCACACACGATGATGAGCACAGTATTATGTAATAGTTTGTGGAATGAAGAAAACCAACATATATGTACATATCTGCAGATCTTTCTAAACAGTTTCTTATTTCGACATGTACTAAACACCCTTAGTGGGGGATGGGGTGAAGACGGTGTGCTAAAAAGCACCAAAACGTAAAAACTTGAATTTCTCGTTTGTATTATTTATGAATCGGAGCAAGCTATTGGTAGACGTACATCCACCACAATAATCTAACAACTCCCCCCCCCCCCAAAAAAAAAAACACCTCCAGGGGGGCGTTTCACAAAACTTGTCACCAGTGACAAAAGACAGTTTTTGTTATAAGCTACTGAAATCCTTGCTTCTGATTGGTTATCAGCAGATTTGTCACTGAGTTTGTCATTTGTCATTGAAAAAAGGCTTTGTGGAATAGGCCCCAGGTCAAAACAAAACAACAAATCAAAACAACCAGCAAATCAAATTGGGTTTATATCACAAGGAGCTGTCAAGATACATTATGCCAAAATCTAGGAATGATCATTCCCTCCCCCCCAACCCCCCCCCCCCTCCTGAAATAAAAATATAGATACGCCACTGCTACACTACATGTAGTTCTTGCATGATTGAAGGGCTAGCGTTCTAAACGACAAGTATACACATATCACTGCATTCAATTTGCCCAAATTCTGCAAGCACAAACATCAACTACCTTTAATTTTTTTAAATCAATCAATTTTTGTCCCAATAACCAAGGTTACAATAGCTTCAGACTCAAACTGACAAATTCCACCACTATCATTAGAAACAAAAATACAATCAAGCTTTGACGAACACTTGGCAGGGCAGGTAAATTTATGACCATGAAAATCAGAAGAAAAAAGGGTGAACAAACCTTCAATGCCAGTTTCTTTTTTAGTGAAAGCAGAAAAGAACCAGAGAACACATTTTGAGAAATGTTTAGAAACTTTTAAAAAGGTTTCCAGTATTTTCATCCCACAAAAGAAAGCTTATCCAAAAACAGGATCCCAATTTAGGAAAGCAAGCATGATAATTTTTTTTTTAGCAATTCATGACAAACCCACTTAATTCTTTATGGGGGGGGGGGGGGGCATGAAAAGATAATTAACCAAAAATTACATGTACAATGTACATCTATGGGAGAAATGTTTCTTTTATTTGAAGAAAAAGGGAACTGATGTAAATTTCATGCTTGATCAAGTAGCCATGCAGTGATGGTAATTTAGACGTGACAGAACACAGAGCATGATAGTAAATGAGTGAGCGGGGTACATGCAGATAGTGGGGCCGTGTCAGGAGTACCTCATGCAAGCTATGCCACCTGATATCCAGCATTAGATGCCCCTCTCTGTGAAGTCTTCTGATCGCATTAAAATAAAATGGACACTCTCCAATCAGGCCGAATCAAAATGCATCATTCATTCACATTCTGGGGAGTGTGTCACAAAGACTAAGATCGACTTTAAAGGTAATACAAAGTTTTGGTATGGGGTCATAAATTTGGTTCAAATGAAATGGTCAAGATATTGATTTAGCTATAAAACAATGTTATTTGACTAAAATCGACCGATTTGCTATTACCGTTTGGAATATATATATCACAACTGCATATTCTGAGATTTCCATGGTCGCAGCTACCATCGTTTAGCCGTAGGCGCTATTTGAAATTTATTAACATTTACTGAAGGCACCGGTAAATTTTTATATTCAATTTTTCTCAAAAGCAGAAGTGTTTTAGGGGCTAATTTTTTTAGTGTTTATAATACATCTATATGGGCATCCAAATTTATCAAAATTGTAAAGAATCACTATCCACCTAATTTTCAAAATTTACCAAAACTTTTTAATACCTTTAAGATGGACCTAACTATGGCAGGCCATTCATGCCACTGTTTTCTCTACCATTTACTGGCATTGGTCTCTCAAGAAACGTACAAATCATGGTCACAAATCTACAGAATTTACATATTTTATAGTTCATTATTGATTGTTTTTTATCTAAAGATCATTATGGTAAAAGCAAACAGTGGCATGAATGGGGCCTGCAGTAATTAAGCCCAAGTTAAAGTCGATTTTAATCTTTGTGAAACACCCCCCTGAAATGCACCTTAGAACCAAATTCCATGCCATCATATAGCATTAAAATCCTTAACTAATTGATAAAAAGGGGATTCTTCATATAAATCAGAAAAAATACTGGGTTTTTTGTTAGCTGAGCTTTGTTAGATCCACTGGCCGCTTGTCTCTCAGTTCTATTGGTCTTATATCCTACATCATACAGTGACCCCTAACCCCACTCTAAAACTAACTGGAATTAAGAGCAAACTTGTAGAAAAGCTCAACAAGTCACATTGGTCTTAAACGTTAAAGGACCAAAGAGAGATTAGAACTATACAGATGCCCCCCTACTCAAATTGTAACATTGAGAGTTCATAAAAGATATTTTAAAATCACAACTAGAAGTAATATACCTTTTTAGAAACATTACAATATTTCTTTGCAATATTTAGCGATCAAAATTAAGTATTTGGAAGTACAAATTCCACATTCTGTGGATACAACAGTTAAGTGTCTCCCGTCATCTTTATATTTTAGCAATAAAATAAAAATCTAAGAATTTGTAAGAGTTAAAAGAAAAGGAAATCTGTCTACAGAGTGTTATATACTCATTGATATGGGGGGTGTTTCACAAAGATCCTAAGTAGAACTTGACTCTAAGTTGGACTTTAAAATTATAGAGAGCCATTTGTAGCCTTAAAATGAAATATATTCAAAAGCAGAAATTCAAATATTTTAGACTTTCATAAATTCCACATCAAGGACATGAAATCTCCTTGATAATAGAAAATATGAGCGATTTTAATCAATATTTTATGCCTTTTAAATAACTTTTACAAAATATTTTCAAAGATGCTAACGGCTTTCCATAATTTTTAAGTCCAACTTAAGAGATAAGTTCAACTTAGGATCTTTGTGAAACGCCCCCCTGGACATGTTATTTACTATGATAACAACTGCCAAACAAGGGTGCTTCAAAATTATGTTTTCTTTTTAAAGGAAGACGAGTGGTTCCAATTTTAAGAATTACTTTTGAGAGGGCAAATCTTGAAACAAGGAAATGCGGCACACTTATTTTCAATGTGTTCAAATCTGTTAAAGGTAATACAAAGTTTTGGGAAATTTTGAAAATTGGGTGGATAGTGATTCTTTACAATTTTGATTTGGATGCCCCTGTGGATGTATTATAAGCACTAGAAAAATTAGCCCCTAAAACACTTCTGCTTTCGAGAAAAGTTGAATATAAACATTTACCGGCGTTCCCAGTAAATTTTGAAAAATTTCAAATAGTGCCTACGGCCGTACAATGGTAGCTGCGACCATGAAAATCTCAGAATATGTAGTCGTGATATTTAATTTCCAAACGGGAATAGCTAATCGGTCGATTTTAGTCAAGAAACATTATTTTATAGCTTAATTAATATCTTCACCTTTAGAGGGAGCTATACAACATAAACAGTTTATTATTTATAATTTCATAACTTTAAACTCGATTTCTACGGCGACAACGATCACTGAATATTGTAGGATCGAATATGCTTCTAATAATGTTCATTTGAACCAAATTCATGGCCCCATACCAAAACTTTGTATTACCTTTAAGAAGAGGATAAAGATCGATGGACAGACCACTTGAAAAAAACATTGAAGTTTCAGTTTCCATGAAAATAGTTCCTTAACTCTCTCTTGTTTGAAGTGGAATTTATTACGGAATGTTGAGTTTAAAACTCTTGTAACCTTTCAGACTAAAAGATTGGTGTCCACTATCATATTCAGTGCCCCATGCGTTTAATGCTCTTATGCTTTATGTCTGAGCCCTGCCCTAGACACAACCATAATTGAACATTTCTTCTGTTCCGTAGGATGGTTGAGTCCATCAAAAACACATCCTGAATAAAAATATTGCAAATGTCCAATGGCAAATACGACAGTGTAGGCAAAATATTCTTCTACATATCCTTCTACATATCCTTATCCAAATTTGGACCTGCATTGAGAAATATTATATTACTTTGTTGATGCAATACAATATCTATTTCATCATTTTCCATAGATAAAAGTCTGAGTCATCTCTAGTTTTGTACTCAGCAGGTTAACCTCCAATGAGAACAGAACAGAAATTGGGGGAATTTAAAAATTCATATGAGGATATATACTCTTAAGGATCGTTCAGATGAGGGGCGGTAAACCACCCCCAAAAAGCTGTTACGGTTTTATTACACGTAAATGAATGTCAACTGCACATAACAAAGGACTAGCGCGTATTCACATAGCTCTGTGTTATTACATACAGAAATGTGGAGCGCATTACACTTTACGTCATCATATGTTTGGTCACATGATGCTATGTTGACCAATCACTGAACAGGATTTCATTGATCAAAAATATAATGAAATCTATAGCCATCACTATCTGTCCTACATGATGTGCATGTGAATGGGCATAACTTTAACTGGTTACGTTCTAAAGTTCTGTCAGCATGCCCCATGCACCCTAATGCAGGAATGATGCACCGTTTTTTTTTTACAGGGCTACCACTGACAAATACAAGGGGGTGTTTCACAAAGATCCTAAATGGAACTTAACTCTAAGTTGGACTTAAAAATAATAGAGAGCCATATGAAGCCTTAAAATAAATACATTCAAAAGTGAAAAAATAAGTATTTTAGACTTTTTATAAAATCCACATCAAGAACATGAAATCTCCTTGGTAATAGAAAATATGAATGATTTGAATCAACATTTTATGCCTTTTAAAATACATTTTACAAAATATTTTTGTAGATGCTAACGGCTTTCCATAATTGTTAAGTCCAACTTAGAGATAAGTTCAACTTAGGATCTTCGTGAAACACCCTCCAGGTATGATTGTAAATGAGCCACATGCCATGTCACTCGTAATCTTTTAACAATATTTCTATTATAGATGAAGGAAGGAATGTGTGGACTTCAAAGAGAATCTCGGAATGACTTTTCATCAGCATCAGGGAAGAGATTAGACTTCAGGAATAAGAGGCTTCTTCATCTACAGAGCAGAGGGCAGAGGTTATGTCAAGGGTGCACAAGAATAAGTATTAAGAACCCCCCCCCCCCCCCCCCCAAAAAAAAAAAAAAAAAAAAAAAAAAAAAATAGAATAAATTAATTAATACAAATAAAATAAAAATACAACAACTTGGGTTCAAATTAAACCCAGGTGGATGACTGAAGCCTGCATTGTCAACATACCCCTCCCCTGTATCATGGACGCAGGCTATGTTAATGTTAAGTGGCAAACACTTTGTCCCTCGGATAGGATGTTAAATAGAGGCCCCGTGTAGAGGAGAGTCACCAGCTTTGCATGTTAAGAACCCACTGCACTGCTCATATAAGAGTAGGGGAAAACCCCGGTGTAGTGGTCCCCATGCACACCCCCAATCAGTTATGCAGAGAGGCGAGACCAAAGGGTAAAAGTGATTCATTTCGCTTTTGCCTCCCAGGCACAGGTGAAGCCAAATACTTAATAGTTTGCCATCCATGTTCATAAGGTATGTAGAAGCAGTTTTCAGCCCTCAAATCAGTACTAGGCAGTAGGCAATCCATTATCTCTGTTGGGACATAAACTTCTTTAATTCCGTTCCAAATTTCATCATGCAAGAAATAAACGCATGATACCACATACTTCTGATCGACACAATGCCTGCATGCATGACGTTTAAAGGGCACTGTTTACCAAAGCCAGAAAGATTTAAGTTTTCTCTCAAAACGCCCGTTAGTGACGGGGGTAGCTATAATAAGAATTTCCCTTTTTACGATTATCCAGAACAAAGATAGCGTACGCCGTCTGTGCACCAGGCAAGAGGAAAATAGTCGGAAATGTTAAAAAAGTGGGTAAATGCATGAAATATATTTTTTGAAAGATGATAGCTTATTGGAGGTACTTGACTTGTGCAGAGTTACAGAGAGAGGGAAAGAGAGAGGGAGAGCAGTGTAGGTAATGCAAAGGAAAGATTCTCAAATTTGCATAGATTTTTCAATTATCTTCAAACTTCATGCAAATGTTCATCAAATTCATTTATCAGTAATTTAATCTAAATTACTCTGACTTCAAATCATCATAACAGATCTAAATGTTGTTGCACATGCCACATAAGGTAATGATATTATTTTATCAGAGTCGGAACAATCCAAATTTGTTCAAAGAGCAGAGGATTACAGTCTACCCCTTTCAGGTCAGGATTTATTTCTAGCGCAAAACTGATCACATATTGTTCTTCAAATTAGCAACATTAACATTTTTCTTTTATTGCTACCTTGTTACATTAAATATAAAGCCTCTAACACAATATATATGTATATATATGAAAGAATGTTGTTGAAAAATTGCCAACTTTGATTGAAAAACAATGATTTTTAAATCGCTCAATCTGTTGCCAATTTGAGGATTTTTTAAAGATTAATTTCCTTTAAAAAAATTCCTGTCATGGAATGCAATAGTGTCATGAAACAAAAATGGATGCGGTGTATGCAGAAATTTTAAAATATTTTGTTTAGGGCTCTTAATCAAAAGTCATTTAAATGGCTATTTTAGATGATCTACCAGTAAATTTATTAAAGATTCCTACTGTATCCTGTTCTGTTAGAACGACAGATGAGTCAATATATTCAGTTCAATTCATTTGTCCATTTTTTAGGAAATACTGATGTGGGGTCTACCGTGGCATCCGGTGCTTGGGGATCTTTGGATAAGTACTAGAACTCAGACCATACTATGTGCACCATCTCCACTTCCTACAGAGCATCTAATTCCCCGGTTTTTCCCTAGGAAGTTCATTTGATCAGTTGTTTGTAACCCTGGGTCTAGAGGGCAGTGAAGAAGGGATGTCTTTTATTTTTCTTTTTTACAGTTTTAATGGTTCAGATATTAGCTCTAGTTGCTGAGAAGCCAGTTATACCTTGCGCAAACATCATTCGACGTCACTCCTGAAGCATGATGCATTATGGGTAATTTGTATGTAGTATTTTTCAATTTCTTTGACTATTGCAGAATCTCAATGCAGCTGTTTAGATGCAGTGATGTTCATAAACCATCTCATATCAAATAACATCAAAAGAAATCAAACCAAACCAAACTGTGACACAAGAGGGCTAAATTGAAAACCTACCCCAAATAAGTTTGAATTAGCTTCTACTACACCGGAATCTGAAAGTCACAATGCAATTCGCTGCAGTTAGGAAAACACTGAACTTTCTACTGGTAATTATGCCATTTTCGGTATCGGTACTCCATTAAAAAAAGATAAAGAGAAAGAAATTACAGAATTGAGGCTCATATTACTAGATGGCACTTGCAAGGCAAAGTTCTAGAGAGTTGTAAGTTTTGAATAAGTGTGCACCATAAATTTGACATTAGTTATGAAATACAGAAAAATAGTGAGCTAACCTTTTCTATACTACACAGCTTTAAGTGAACAGGTAAGTACCATGCATAACTTGCCCAGACATTTAACATGTGTACTACAATTAATGCTCGGACAAACACTACATTGAATGGCCTTTTTTCCCCTTCCAGAAGCAAAAGAGATGTACCGTTCCCTAACTCTTGGGATGGTAATTCAGGGGGTTAACACTTTTAAACAAGAGGTCTGATGCACATGTAGGCCCTGAGCAATTACAAGGAGAGGGCCATCAGTTTCCATGTGCAGAAGGCCATAATTCGCTGACACCAGACTTGGTGAAAATACCATTAACGGGTGCACAAGTCTGCACACAGCAAACTGGAACTCCTGTCTTTAAGAGATGACTTTTCCATACAGGGGAATGGGTGGAAAATGCAAAGCATTACATAAGGGCCGGTTGGTCATAAAACTGAAGGCTAATCCTGGTGACTGGCAACACCTATTATTGGGTAAACACCCAAATGGTGTTGAATTCCCCATGAGAGCCCACTACTTTGCGTCTTTAAATCTGGACCCCCATGCACAAACGAGTGGAGTAGAGCCTTCAGTGATTGTCAGTCAAATGTGATGATTAAAGGCCCACTGTACTACTTGTAGCTACTTGCTCCCTCTATAGCAACCCTCCTGGGTGGTCTAGTCCCTCCTAGCCAAACAAGTACAGATGAGCTTTAAAGCCTAAATATACTCTGGGCCTCTGGCACATTTGCTCTGCATTACTTCCCAACATCTACCAAATACATACCTTCAACCCTGCACCCAACGCTATACGTCACCCTAACAACCTAACCCTAATTCTAACCTAACGCCCAGTCATAACTCTAACTCTTTGTCTTTGACAGAATGATAAGGCCTAGAGATAATTTGATCAGAGGCATGTCTCAGACCACCAATTTGACTGATCAGAGATCTATGCATATCTGACAGGATTTGAAAATGGCAAAGTGTCCTTCTGAGAGCGAGGCTTAATGGAACACAGCGCTATTAGATGCCCATCCATCATATGTAGGGTTCAAGCACCAGGATTGAAGGGACTTTAGACAAATATCTGAACAAATATGACCAAATTGGATTAGTTGGGAGGATTGGAGGTGGTGGGATTGTGTGTTTACCTGGCCTGGTCCACTCCCTCTATCAGGGGCATCCCCTCCTCTGCCTCCGGATGGTTTCTTATCTACCATGGCGTACCTGAGAGAGAGAGAGAGAGAGAGGGGGGAGGGAGAGGGGGGAGGGAGGAAGGGAGGGAGAGAGGGAGAGAAAGGGAGGGAGAGAGAGAGAGAGAGAGGGCGGGTGGGGGGGGGGGGGGGGGGGGGGAGGGGGAGGGGGAGAGGAATAGAGGGAGAGGTGAGGGAGAGTGAGAGACAGTCAGAGAGGGGGAGAGGGAGGGAGATAAAGAGAGAAACAGATTGAGGGAGAGAGTGAGAGACGAAGGAAGAGAAGAGAAAGAGAGAGAGAGTAAGAGTAACAAAGAGAGAGAGAGAGAGAGGGAGAGAGAAGGGGGAGAAAGGGGGGGGGGGGGGGAAAGAGGGGCAGGGGATTCATGGATAGAAAGAAGGAGCAAAATTATAAATCTAGAACATTGTGCATTCATGAGCTTACAATCAATTATTTTGTATACTTGTAGTTCAATATTTTTTACATGTATTGGGGGGGGGGGGGGGGGTATCTCTCACTTTTCTTTCCTTTTCCTTTGTTCTTTTTCTTGCGCTTAGAAACATTAGTATTAAGCACTTTATAAATATATTGAATTATTGTATTATCATTTGATGTGTCCTTTCCTTTTTATCATTTTTACTCCAACGTATTGAATACAACAAGCAATCAATTTCAGCTACATTTAACACCGCTGCTTTTCAAGTTAAACATATATATATTTTCATTCACATCAAGGTAAGTTATTCAAACTTTCACCTCTGTGCTTAAAATTTCATCATTTCCTTGAGAGAAACTTGCTCTTAAGCTTTAGATTTCTCATTAAACAAATTAATATACCTTACTTTAAGAATCTTTTCTTATCTTGTCATCTGATAACGGTTGAAAGTGAAATCGTGTTTTTAACTATGCCTGCAAAAACTGCTTTAATATATGAGGCTTAATTGTTTCTATAGGCGCTCGGGGACGTTACATCCTGCTATGACCCCCAAGGCGCGACGCGCATAGCAGTCAATATATCTATTAGTGAATAAAACCCCTCACACTGGTCACTTACATATCTTGATTCGGGTTATCGTTTGTATGCTGGATAGAGCCATGGCCTCTCGGAGCAGCTTCAGGTTTGGTCTTCTCCTAAAATGATGCAACAAAAGAAGAAACAACATTTCATGAAAGTACTGTAAAGCTGATACTCAAGCAAACGACGAGAGAGATCTGGGGGGTGTTTCACAAAGATCCTTAGTCGAACTTATCTCTAAGTTGGACTTAACAATTATGGAAAGCCATTAGCATCTATGAAAATATTTTGTAAAATTTGTTACAACAAAAGGTATCAAATGTTGATTCAAATCATTCATTCAAACCTTCAATTGATGAATGTTTTCAATCTGCACGAAATGATCTTTAAAAACAATTCTATCTGATCAGTGTATTACTGTTGTCGTCTTTTTGTCCCTTTTTCTAAAACTAACTTTTGTATTACCCTGTCATTTCTAGATTTATGTGCGCCTTGGGTGCCACTTTAGGCAAGATATGTGGGTCTATTCAAATCTAGAATTCTGCATCTAATTCTATTTATCGCAGCTACTTAAATTCGCCTTCGAGCTAAATTTCATGAAACTCATGACACAAAAACCCTCACAAAAATAATGGTTTATACAGTAGACAACCCAGGAATGAACACAATGTAATATAGTGAGGGTAAAGGAAGATAGACCATCGGGCAATTTTATCTTCTGACAATGACAATATATGCATCTTTGACAAATTTAGGATTAGGTTTAGGGCAACGAGGTAGGGTTTAGGCATGTGAGGATAGGGTTATGGTTAGGCTTCATATATGTAGGTAGAGTCAATTTTATCATTTTGCTCCTGTATTTTTGTCACAAACACAAAGATAGCCCAAATCTCCAGAAATTGTCTTGAGAGAACAAAACAGACAGATATAAGTGTGAGTACTTGCAACACAGAAGTTTGATACAACATTTATTTACAAAAAAGGATGGGTTTATTTTACCTGAATGCCTTATGTCTTGGAAAAATTGAGAATGGGAAAGAGGGAGGGGAGGGTTAGGGTTAGGGGTTAGGTATCCTACATTTAGTATTCATGAAGAGAATGATGGTTTGAATGCTGGCACATATTTTAAAAGGCAAATTATACAGAAACACTTTCTTTTTGGCTTTGGCAAAATTATGATTGAAATGGAATTACTTCAGTCTGTTAATGCCCTCCTGGCTCTCTGCGTATGAAATGTTCATGATTTATGACCTTCATTAGATCTGTGTATAGATACATCTAATGTATAGCATGAACATGATGCACAACTTTGCCTACTCTGAAAAGGTGAAAACTGATGAAAATGTTCATGCATGTATATGTACTTGAAATGAGATTATGGAAGAGCAATTTGTGATGGTCTGTTTGAAATTTAAACAGAAACAGCATTGTAATATGTGATTTTGAGTCTACATGATATGAAATGACATAAACTAGCTCAAAGAACTAAAATGAGCATAACCTTAAATTAGAAAGCTGATGTTGAACATGTAACTATGGTGATATTAACCTCCTGCTAGTGGCAAGATCAAATCTTTTTGAATATCAAGACGACCTTCCGACTAAAACTTCAATTCTAAAACAATTTATGACTCAGGAGGGTCTTTCCTCTTTAAAGGACCTATGATAATATATTATCCATGATATATTTTGAGTAGTGCCCCAAGGGAGAAGGCACTTTGGAGAAAAACAGAAATTAACAATATTTTTGTACACGACAAATGGGAAAGTTATCTGCGAATACGTCGCAATCCACTGACCAAATTAGCAATTTGAGATATCCAAAGGCTCATTGACCTTATACCTCAAACATTCATTACGTTCTTATTATTGGTCCGATTTATTTCAAACTAGTGCCATTCTTTTTATGTTATTTTTATGCTTTCATTTTGTGATTTGCATAGGCCTAGTGATCTCATATTTCAAACATTCATAACTTTCTTATTATTGGTCTGATTTATTTCATACTTTCCCTATTCTGTCTGTCTCATTTGTTTGCTTGGATTGGATTGCTAATAAAGAGCAGGTAAATTTCGTAATGAAATGACTATATTTGCACAGTAGATGATTTGCATGTGACATAATCCGACCAATGATACATTTGCGCTGTGGTTTACGATTTAGAATACTGGATATGACTACACGTTGACAATGCTATTGACATGAGCTGACAAATAGTAGTTGCATGTTGGTTTCTAAAGCTATGGTCACATTACCCAAAAGTAGCCTGCTCGGCGGCCGAGCGGCGAGTTTTTAACAAATTCTGCCCGGCGGCTGGCCGCCACCGAGCGGCGGCCGCCCAGGCACCGCTCGTTTTTAGGGCATCGCTCGGTCGCCGCTGAAGTTTTAGCGCGGAGTTAAAATTTGGGCGGCGCCTGCTCACTTTTCACTCGCCGCCCAAAATACGCTCGGTGCCTGGGCGGTCGCCGCCCGGGTACCGACCTAATTGCTGGGCGATGCCTAAATTCCAGCAGCGACCGAGCAGGCTACTGATCGGTCGGTCGCTGCTCAGATTTGTGACCATAGCTTAAAGCATGTGGAAATGGCAAGGTCACATTTGTACATGATCTGGTTTATTGCCGTTTGGTGTACAACCACTTCGTCTACTTCCCGATTGGTCTATTGATCTATTCCCATATTGTCTACACTCAGCTTGTCTACTATCCACATGGTCTCATAATCATTTAATTACAAAATCGTTTAATCATAACTAATAACTATAATTATATAATAATTAGACCTCACAGGTCACTGGGCATTTGACAAAGTGGGAATAAGAGTTAATGAACAATATACCAAAATTAGTAGTAGACTTATTGGAGATTAGACCAACTTGTAATCAGACCAAGTGGCTATTATCCTAAATGTCATTAGACCAAATTACAAGTAGACGAAATGATTATTAGACCAGGTAGATAGTACACAGGCTGGGTGTAGACCATATGGGAATAGACCAATTGGGTAGTAGACAAACTAGTTGCATGTAGACCATACAGCAATTCACCCCATGAACTGACCGATGACATGTTTGTGCTAGCTGTGGTATAAGTTTTGCATGTGAAAGGGGGAATAAGATCCCATACGTACCTCGGCGGTAACATCTTTTACACCATTTAATGGTGATTCAACATCCTGAAAGTCACATCAAAGTCATGATTTATTCCAAGTTTAACCTTCAGTTTCAAGATTAATTTTATGCCGTTTTCAATACTTGCTTTTTAAAATTGTTTTCTGTATGTTTTATCATTGCACAGGGAGACTTAATGTGCCATCAGACCTATCGATGTATATGAATGTTGGTAGTGCACAACCGTAGATTTAATGTTTGTATGCAGTACATTATGATATACACTCTATGGGAACAAGCCTGTGCGTGATGAAGGGAAGGTAAGGAGTGGTGCACAAGAAAAGCAGGGACTGTTCCCACTAAAAGTAAATCATGCAAGAATATGATAACAAGTTGAAAAAGAGTTGAAATAGTGAGGGAATCACAGCAAATTTGGGCCACCTGTTTTGTGAATGGTGTTCACATGTGTCCTGGTTAATAGTGGAATATCGACATGTACATTTACAGAGTACACATATTTATCATGGAAGTCTGCACTTAGATGGTTGATCCATTACTTGCTTGATTGATCAATTGATTGAACAATTGAACTGATTGAATGCTTGATCAATTATTTGTTAATTGATTGATTAATTGAATACTAAATTGATTGATTGAATAGTTGATGAATTATTTGTTGAATTGATTGATTGATAGAATACTAAATTGATTGGTTGAATGGTTGATCAATAATTTGTTTAATTGATTAATTATTTGAATACTAAATTGACTGATTGATTTAATAGTTGATCAATTATTTGTTTAATTGATTGATTAATTGAATACTAAATTGATTGATTGAATAGTTGATCAATTATTTGTTTAATTGATTGATTAATTGAATAATAAATTGATTGATTGAATGCTTGATCCATTACTTGCTTGATTGATAAATTGAATACTAAATTGATTGGTCGAATGCTTGATCAATTATTTGTTTGATTGATTAATTGAACAATTGAATTGATTGGTTGATCAATTATTTGTTTAATTGATTGATTAATCGAATACTAAATTGATTGATTGAATGATTGATCAATTATTTGTTTAATTGATTGATTGATTGAATACTAAATTGATTGATTGAATGCTTGATTAATTATTTGTTTAATTGATTGATTAATTGAATAATAAATTGATTGATTGAATGCTTGATCCATTACTTGCTTGATTGATTAATTGATTGAATACTAAATTGATTGGTTGAATGGTTGATCAATAATTTGTTTAATTGATTAATTATTTGAATACTAAATTGACTGATTGATTTAATAGTTGATCAATTATTTGTTTAATTGATTGATTAATTGAATACTAAATTGATTGATTGAATAGTTGATCAATTATTTGTTTAATTGATTGATTAATTGAATAATAAATTGATTGATTGAATGCTTGATCCATTACTTGCTTGATTGATAAATTGAATACTAAATTGATTGGTCGAATGCTTGATCAATTATTTGTTTGATTGATTAATTGAACAATTGAATTGATTGGTTGATCAATTATTTGTTTAATTGATTGATTAATCGAATACTAAATTGATTGATTGAATGATTGATCAATTATTTGTTTACATGATTGATTGATTGAATACTAAATTGATTGATTGAATGCTTGATTAATTATTTGTTTAATTGATTGATTAATTGAATAATAAATTGATTGATTGAATGCTTGATCCATTACTTGCTTGATTGATTAATTGATTGAATACTAAATTGATTGATTGAATGGTTGATCAATTATTTGTTTAATTGATTAATTGATTGAATACTAAATTGACTGATTGATTGAATAGTTATTTGTTTAATTGATTGATTAATTGAATACTAAATTGACTGATTGAATAGTTGATCAATTATTTGTTTAATTGATTGATTAATTGAATAATAAATTGATTGATTGAATGCTTGATCCATTACTTGCTTGATTGATTGATTGACTACTAAATTGATTGGTTGAATGCTTGATCAATTATTTGTTTAATTGATTGATTAATTGAACAATTGAATTGATTGGTTGATCAATTATTTGTTTAATTGATTGATTAATCGAATACTAAATTAATTGATTGAATGATTGATCAATTATTTGTTTAATTGATTGATTGAATACTAAATTGATTGATTTAATGCTTGATTAATTATTTGTTTGATTGATTAATTGAATAATAAATTGATTGATTGAATGCTTGATCCATTACTTGCTTGATTGATTAATTGATTGAATATTAAATTGATTGTTGAATGGTTGATCAATTATTTGTTTAATTGAATAATTGATTGAATACTAAATTGATTGGTTAAATGCTTGTTAATTATTTGTTTAATTGATTGATTAATTGAACAATTGAATTGATTGATTGAATAGTTGATCAATTATTTGTTTAATTGATTGATTAATTGAATAATAAATTGATTGATTGAATGCTTGATCCATTACTTGCTTGATTGATTAATTGAATGCTTGATCCATTACTTGCTTGATTGATAAATTGAATACTAAATTGATTGGTCGAATGCTTGATCAATTATTTGTTTGATTGATTAATTGAACAATTGAATTGATTGGTTGATCAATTATTTGTTTAATTGATTGATTAATCGAATACTAAATTGATTGATTGAATGATTGATCAATTATTTGTTTAATTGATTGATTGATTGAATACTAAATTGATTGATTGAATGCTTGATTAATTATTTGTTTAATTGATTGATTAATTGAATAATAAATTGATTGATTGAATGCTTGATCCATTACTTGCTTGATTGATTAATTGATTGAATACTAAATTGATTGGTTGATCAATAATTTGTTTAATTGATTAATTATTTGAATACTAAATTGACTGATTGATTTAATAGTTGATCAATTATTTGTTTAATTGATTGATTAATTCGAATACTAAATTGATTGATTGAATAGTTGATCAATTATTTGTTTAATTGATTGATTAATTGAATAATAAATTGATTGATTGAATGGTTGATCAATTATTCATTTGATTGATTGAGTGAACAATTGAATGATTGAACAATTGCTTGCTTGGTTCATAAAAGTACTTACCTATCATTAGAGTTTGCACTTAAGAATAATTTGTTGATTAATTGGTGAATTCAGATATTACCTAATTGATAGATTAAATAAATTCCATGTGATAACTGTCTGCACTGGCAGAGTGGTTGATATATATGTAAGTCAATTCAGCTATTATTTACTGTATTGATTACTTGATTGAATGTTAATTAACAAAAGAAAACAAATCTCTTTGTTTCTTTTCCTCCTGGTTGACGCCTTACCCTCTCACTGCCGTTACTGGATCCTACGGCGCTTCCAGCAGGTTTGCTTGATCCACTGCTCTTTGGTCTGAAGGTGAAAGATAAACACAAAGAAAAAAAGAAAAAATGACATTAATGAACAAAATACCTCAATGTTCATACACAAATATGAGCTTTAGACTATGCGTTTACTGTGTATGGTATCAATATGAGCTTGATCTACCACCCTCTGATCTGTAAGTAAAAAGACAGACACAAATAAAAAACAGATTAATCGAACAATAACAAACTACTTAAATGTTTATAACCCAATTTAACTCAAAGTCAACGATTATCCTGAGCATAATACAAAGAGCAATTCCATATAACATGTGCCATAAAGGCATATGACATACTTCTTCATTCTTACCGCTTCATTAATAAAAGAGAAAAGAAACAAACAATACAAAACAAAACAAAACAAAACGAAATAAATCAATTTGGTATAAAGTTCGCATGTAGACAACCGGTAGAAGTTTCTAATGATATGTACAACATACAATAAACAGCCATTAGTGCAGTGTGCATGCATTATGCAAGTAAATAATCATGCATCTACATTTTTCAATAATGCATTGTAAAGCATACATGCATGATATAGAGGGATTTTTCCATCAGCACTTAATGTATAGTTGTGCATGCCATTCGTGTTATCAGTAGGGGTAGTAACAGTGCATGTAGTAGTAGTAGTAGTAGTAGTAGTAGTAGTAGTAGGAGAAGAAGTATAAGTAGTAGGAGGAGTATTAGTGGTAGTAGTAGAAGTAGAAGTAGAAGAAGAAGTAGAAGTAGAAGTAGTAGTAGAAGTAGAAGTAGTAGTAGAAGTAGAAGTAGTAGTACTAGTAGAAGTAGAAGTAGTAGTACTAGTAGAAGTAGTGGTAGTGGTGGTGGTGGTGGTGGTGGTGTCAGTATTAAATGTAGTCCAACATGAATAAAAGAAGAAAAGTGAGTATGATTTTTATGTAGTGGTAACACACATAATATCATTATAAATTTGTTATTATTATACATGTATGACAAATAATTAAAGCTAAACTTTAGTACTGGTAATGCGATTGCATTGTGAAAGAAAAGGTGTGAAAGGATCAGAAACAGTTGATCATGTAGCATGTAAGTATTGGTGTGCACTGCAAGGTTCTGGAGTCATCAAAATCATAATAAATTTGACCGAGTCTTGGTAAAGTAACAAACACTCACATAGAAAGCTATATATGGGACAACACACATCGTGTCGGGGATGGTACTACCTTGGTTTCCTTGTCTTTCTATGCTCATTACTCAGCCAGTATACATTTTCTTCCAAAATTGTTTGGCACATGTCATTTATTTGTAATCTTGAACATTCAGTGTAAGTTTCGTTTGATTCTGTGAGAATTAATTTTTTTTTTTTTACCAGTACTGGAGTTTATCTTTAAATGTACAGTATTGGTACTGTAATTTTTCATTACTATGGTATAGTAGAAGACTAAAAAATCAAATTGAATCTACAACTGGAGTTCGAGTACATATACATGTATCTACATTATGTCCATCAATTTAAGACTACCAGTATATGTTTGGTTACATCGTACGGTTCATATATAATGCACCTGTACATATAGCCCCTTGTAATGGTATGATGGTTTCTTTCAGGCCATGTACATGTATCATTAATAGCAACACAATTATCATGTACATCATCTGTATAGAAGCAGATGTAGATGCATTTAATATAATACCATAATAATAAAAATATTAATAATAATGGTGACTTCTTATATAGTGCACATGTCCGTCGCGTTGTGACTTTACTGGCGCTGCCTTGATTATCAACCAGGCTTTTAATAGCAAGGCGGCCATAACGGTGCTCTAGCATTTCAAGGAATTAATTCCTGCCAGGTACAAATTTACTCCTTGTATAAAGGTTTAGGCTGGAGGATCATGTGATGCACTCCAATTCTCGTTGCCATGGTAACTAAAGTGCGCATCGTAATGGAGATGAGAAATTAGTATGAATTTTTGAGCATTTCTAATGCATCAGCACATCCTTGGTCATACTTCTCTCTGCATAATAAGCAATAGAAGCGTTTCCAATGCTCGCATGAAAAAGGTTTTTATTATTCTATCAGAGCCAGAAGGGTGTTAACTCTGTGGTGAAGTATATGAGTTAATGCCCATCCGGCTCTCAACAGAAAAAGCAGCAATCACTTAAAATCTGTATATAATTAGCAAAGTGCTTCTGCACCCTGTACATTCATTGAAAAAATGTAAAAACATGAATCAAAACATGTTGGAGATATGGAATAAAATTTTCTATAAATCTAATCAAGTGTCATTATATTATATAAATGCAGTAAAACATGAAAACTGCACTATCTATGTAATTGATGTTAGGTATAAGATAAATGTACATGTACATGTCGTTCATGTTTTTTTCTATTTCAGTTTGTTCTATTTAACATGTTTTTCTTTTTTGTGTGCTTGTAAAATATATTAATAAACAATGTTGTTTATAATTCAATGTATCTTTCCCATATGTTTCCGATACTGAAATACAGTGTATATATCACATGAAGTTTTATATTTCATTGTCTTGAAATATTTTGTTTAAAGATGCGCAGAATAAAACATATTGAACAATATTCCACTATGCCCCATCACCCTTGACCAAGAACGGAATATCCAAGATGGATGCCAGGGACGCTTAAGACAATGCTCATCAGCACTCAACATCTAAGGGCCTAAGGATATTTCATCTATAACCCGGCTACCCTCAAACGCAATGATGATGTACGGATGTGGAAAGAGCAGGGTTTCATTGTCAGTAATGTTACTTTTTCTTTGTTAGATGCCTTGAAAAAAGAAAGATAGTTTCTCATATATATATGTTATGTATTTGTACAATGGGTGACCAAAACAAATTTCCATGTATTCTTGTGAATTTGGATGAATAAAAAGAATTGAATAAAATTGAATAATCCCAATTGCTCCCAATTGTGGGTGGGAAATTCAAAATGGATGCCATGTACATCAATCAGCACAATGCTCATTATCATTCAGCTTCAAGGGGCCTAAAGGACTTTCTCTCTGTAACGCAGCTGCTCTCAAACCCATCCACGATGTCGACATTAGCATCGGATGTCATCCCTGCTATCTCAAATTCCCCGTTGCCATGGCGCAGCATCACCTTATTGATGCGGTCATCGTACAGCTCCAGGCTGGGTGTGGTGGATGTGTTAACCTTCACTGGTGCTTCATTCAATGCCAATTCACTTAATTATTGATGGTGAAAATGTGTTGACGTGATGAACACAGAAAAGAACATACAAAATTATACAACCAAAAGTCTTTAAATTGTTGAATTTGTAGATCCACATAACTCGAACCTTTCTCTTTTTATTTTGTTTGAAATTTATTTAATTCACTTTATTTTCAATCATCTCATATTGTGCGTGCAAATGTAAATAGCTTTTTGTTTGAGCATATTGATGAATTGTACTTGTTTCAGTGTATGTGCAGTTTTCATTCATCATCTCATGTAGTATATGGAGATACAAGCATCTTGTGTGATAAAACCAGATGGGAATGCCTTACACAATTCAACAAACTTGAAGAGAGTTCTAGATAAATCTTTTATTTCAACATGATGGAAATAATGATTTATCTCAGCATTTGGTATGCACAGATATCTTGTTAGATTAAAAAAAAAAAAAGATGCAAAAGCTTAAGAAAAAATAAAACTCTTCACATGAGACTATCTCAATATACAATAATTTACAAGCTTTGATGCCTTGTTGCCATGGCACAACATCACTCTAGAGGTGCGTTCATCAATAAAATAAATAAAGCTCTTACTTGGGTGGGGTGGTTATATTATCCTTCATACATGTGAATGATGTATTGTGAATTCTATTAATTTTCGATGGTGAAAATATGATGTGCATACAAGAGGTATAAAACCAAAGAGTAATTCATTTTTGTTTAATTATTTGAAGAAGTTTTATTGTATATTTCAGTATTTGTACAATTTTCATTCATTATGGAGATGTAGTCATCATAAAGCTGCTAATTGGGTGTGGCAGTTATATTAAGTGTTACATGTGAACGATGTACTGTGCATTCATTAATCATTGATGGCAACAAATATGACGATGTGCATAAAAGAGATATGAAACCAAGGAGTAATTCATTTTTGTTCACTAATTGAAGAAAGTTTTGTATATTTCAGTATTTGTACAATAAATTTTCATTCATTGCCTCACACTATGTACATGGACAGATGTCTTGCTGTACATAACACTAGATGCAAAGCTTGTCAAAAAAATGAATGCTTGCAAACAATACCATCGTGATATATGGTACTGAAATAGCTCTGCAGCCTTGTTGCCATGGCGCACCATCACACTAGAGATGCGATCATCACAGAGCTGCTATTTGGGTGTGGTGGATATATTAACCTTTACATGTGTGTGCTTGATGCAAAGTGAATTACATTAATTATTGATGGTGAAAATGTGTTTGAGTGAGAAGATAAACAACGCCAGGAACAATGTACGATATGGATGTACACAATTCGGTTTACTGCATTATATGATGGAGACAATTCAAACATTTTTGCTCATTAACGTGTTCTAGGAGATATTTTGTTGAAATAAAAGATATGTGTAGAAACAAACTAATATCTTTGGTTGCGAAGTGTCTTCCAAAAATGCTTCATTATCTAATCATAGGAAAAATATTAATATATTATGTGTATTATTGTGTAGTATCAGATATTCATAATCAGGTTAATAAAGGTATATTTCAACTTCCCCCTTTTACATTATATAATCAATAGCATTATATTGTTTTTACTCTTACCTTTGTAACATGATGAAAACTAAGCGTTCTGGATTATTATAGTGGTTTGTATGAAGTTTTAAAATATATATTTTCCTATCAATATCATCTTCTGAGGAAATGTATACACCACACTGCAATATGTTTCCATTTTCTTAAACAATGTCATTCACTTTAAATTCTGTTTTCATCTCGAAGCCATTTACATTTTGAAACTTTTGAATCGAAATGGAAAATAACAATACTTGTTCGTTTTCTATATCTTTTAATGTTTTATCAATGTACTTTTATGCCATGTACTTTTTACTCTGTAAATCGAACAATTTCAGCTATTAGCTGCATGTTCGATAATTTTTATCTCTATAAACCCAACCAATACAACACAATACAATGTAGTGTAGGTACATCCACGCTGTACAAATGAGATGGCTGCCATGCTTACACACAGCTTCAGCTTGAAATAGAAGTGAGTATTTTGGGCAGATACTTAGTACCCCATGAGAGCATTTCAGCAGAGAATCAATAATGATGAATCTGTTTGAATCGATAACTAGCCTCAGGTCAACTACTCAGCTGTAATGCATACTATATCGCTATGACAGGAGATTGGTGAATATTATGTACACATTATTCCTGTGTAACTTGCATTTTTAATGTTATTTCTATCCAGTAAAAACATGTGCGGTTCAGAGTATTGCTGCTAAGAAAAAGAGAAAAAGAGAAAATAGGAAAAGAGAAAAGAAGAAAAAGAAAAAAAAAGAAAAAGAAAAAAAAAGAAAAAGGGAAAAGAAAAAGAGAAAATAATACAAAGATAAAGGAAGAAAAAGAGAAAAGAAGAAAAAGGGAAAAGAAGAAAAAGAGAAAAGAAGAAAAAGAGAAAAGAAGAAAAAGAGAAAAGAAGAAAAAGAGAAAAGAAGAACAAGAGAAAAGAAGAACAAGAGAAAAGAAGGCAGAGAGGAAGAGATTGAGAGAAGGGTGGGAGAGAAAGAGAGGATATGGGTAGGGGGAATGACTTTGGGAGAGGAAAGGAGAGAGAGAGAGAGAACATTGTAACAAACTACATGTATGAAGAGAGAGAATGGGAAAAGCGGAGTACAGCAAGATGAAAATACAGCTCTTCTCTGAAGAGAATGCTATAGAACAACATGACACAATTGATACACTATTCTTACATTCCTATGAAACTATGACACCAGGGTATGCATGACCTGTGACACATTGAGGTCAGATGTCAAAGGTCAAAGGTTGAACAGGGGTTCATGCTATATGAATGGACTGAATGTCACATGACCATGCTTGGTGTAATTTACCTGTTGGGACAAGAAGAGACCCGATTGCTTTAGATAGTAATGGTGGAAAATGTTTTGGTGAGAAAAATATAAAAATGGAAAAGTTTTGGTCAGAATATAAGCCACTGTGTGATTAATTAATCAGTGATTGTTCTAAAATGAATAGCAGGCAGTGAAGGGGGAAAGAAGGAGGGAGGTGGAAGGAAGGAGGGAGGGAAGGAGGAAGGGAGGAACAAGGGGGAGGGACAAAGAAGAAAGGGGAAGGGAGAGTGTGTGTGTGTGTGTGTGTGTGAGTGAAAGAGAGACATAGAGAGAGAGAGAGAGAGAATATATATCCAGTCTTGGGGGAGAAGGGGGGGGGGGGCGGGTGCAAAGAGAAAGAGGTGGACCAATAAAATCACTTCATGTATTGTGCCCCCATGTAGCAACTGATGTGGCTTTTAACAGGCACACAAATTCCATGAACATACACGTAGGCCTACTCAACAAAACAAAACATTAGGGGAATTCCCTTTGTTTGAATGTCAGCGATGAGAGAAGGGAGGATAGAAAGGTATTTAGGAATGGATGCATGAGGGGAAGATGAGGGTGAATATCGCACATTCACATAGATTATCATCAGAAGATTAAATATAGATGTACAGGTAATGAAGAGAAAGAGAGAGAGAGAGAGAGAGAGAGGGGGAGGAGAGAGAGAGAGAGAGGGGGGAGGGGGGAGAGGGGGGGGGGTGAGCTATTTGACAAGATAGGAAGATACAATGAATGACATGCAGCAGCTTTTTGGGAGAATTAAAAAATAAAGGGTGAAAAGTTGAGGAAGTAGATTGACAAGATACGGTCACAAAATGAAACAAAGATACAATTGTAGTTGTAGATAATGAGAGAAAGATGGGGGACGGAGAGAAGGGTGTTGGGAGAAATAAAATTGATGGAGGGGACAGAGGGAGACACACAGAGAAACAGAGAGAGAGAAGGGTAGAAGAGAGAGAGAGAGAGAGAGAGAGAAGGGTAGAAGAGAAAGAAGGGAGAGAGAGAGAGAGAGAAAGAGTAGGAGAGAGAAGAGTAGGAGAGAGAAAAGAGATGGGGGGGCAGGAAAGATGAGAGGTAGATTAGAGAAAGGATGAGTGAATAGATTGTTACAGTTGTTGCATTAATGGAAAGAAAAAAACAGTTTCGTTTCACCTATGTAATGCATCATAATAAGTTTTATTCAATATAGAATTTCAACTCATATTCATTTGCATTAATTATGCAAATAAAACACTTTCTTCTGAGTGACTCCTTAGAAGTTTTAGCATCCTAAAGGACCAGGGCCCCATTTCATAAAACTTGTCATCAGTGACAAATGGCAGTGTTTTGTTATAAGCTACTGAAATCCTTGCTTCTGATTGGTTATCAGCAGATTTGTCACTGATATTTGTCATTTGTCATTGAAGAAAGGCTTTGTGAAACGGGCCCCTGTTCTATATCTAGATTTTTTTTAAATAGAAAGAATCAACATTCGTCTATGACATATCATTAATAGAGTATACCCTACTTTATAATACATTAGTAGTTTTAGTACATGACATTATATTTACATGAAAACAGGCACATATATAAATTAGTAGATATGTGTATGTTTTACACAGTAAGGTTCAGAAAGTCATGCATATTTGTCATATTATTAGGTTCCAATATACATGTTAATACACTTTGTAATGTACAATATTAAAATACATGCATGATTTTTTATAAAAAAACATATATCTAGTAAATAGTTAAATATCAACATGTATAAACAATGCATGATAATATTACAATATACAGTGGTACACTTTCACATGCAAATTGCAGAGGCATATATCGTCCATTTGAAACCAGGGGGGTGCTTCATAAAGATCCTAAGTTGAATAGACTTAAGTTGGACTTATCAATTATGGAAAGCCATTAGCATCTTTGAAAATATTTTGTAAAAGTTATTTTAAAAGGCATAAAATGTTGATTCAATTCATTCATATTTTCTATTACTATGAAAGATTTCATGTTCTTGATGTGGAATTTATGAAAAGTCTAAAATTCTTCAATTTTCGCTTTTGAATATATTTTATTCTAAGGCTACAAATGGCTCTCCATAACTTTTGAAGTCCAACTTAGGTTTAAGTTATACTTCCAATCTTTGTGAAACACCCCCAGAACGCTGTTAACTGCTTTCATTTTACACAGAGTTGGCACCCTTGTGGGTTCAAAGAGACGATACAAGGAACATGCAGAGAAATTTCAAGAAAGAACAGAGAACTTACGGGAGTGAACATTTACAAGATGAAAAGAGGGCTTGAAAGCTGAAACTGCATAGAATGCAATTTTTAAATTTTTTTTTCAAAAAGACAACGCAGAAGAGATCATTTAAGAAGAGGAACATGTAAACTGACAACAACAAAAAAGCATACATTCAGCTTGAAATTTGACAGAACACAGAATGCAATATAGTTCTTAGATAGAATATTGTATGTTCAGAGAGAGAGAGAGAGAGGGGGGAGAGAGAGAGAGGGGGGGGGGGGGGGAGAGAAGGGGGGGGGGAGAGAAAGAGAGAGAGAGGGAGAGAGAGAGAGAGAGAGAGAAGGGCATCAACTCTGCATTCAAGTATATGTTATATATTGAGTTATGCCCTGCTGGCTCTACATAAAGTGCAGATATATATATTGAAGGACAAGAAACACAAAATGGTAGTGCAAGTATATTTTACAAAAAGATGTGAGCAACAATATTTGATAATCATTATAAAGAATTTAATTCAAAGAATGCCTCGTCTGTTAAAAGCCAGAATGGCATTAACTTTGTATTAAAGCGTACCAATCACAAAAAATCACAATCACAAAATTTGTTCTGTATGTTATGGGTTATATCTGGCTACACTATTTTAAAAATAGGAGCTTTTAACATTATATATATCTATAAAAAGATACTGCACGTTTAAATGCACTCTCTCGATTATCATAAAAAGTACTTGTGAGTTCATGACTCGATGCACCCGTTTATTCTCAAATGGAATTAGGGCCCGAAGTTCCGAACATAACCCATGTTCTACTTGGATTTAATTTTAACTGTTTCATGTTTTTCTTTAGATCTTCATACTCCTTATCCCCTGGCCAAAAGAATAGCGGGTAAAGTTTATTGAGGTTGATTTTATACAGTCTCGCTGTACACATTTTGTTTTTTATTTTAGTGATTGATATTCTTTAAATTACATGAGTTAACACCCTTCTGGCTTTCGACAGACATGTATTGAAATGACAAGTTGCACTCTAAAAAGAACACTTATTAGTCAAAGATGCAAGAAAAATGTTATAAAGAAGAGCATAGAGGAGCAAAACACTTCATAATCTTGCATCAAAAACTTTCATAAAGTTGAGAACTAAATTATTCATACTCCTTGTAAATTTCATAGTTGTCTGTGTATTCGTAACTCAAGAATCAAAGGCGGATTGGTTGAATTAGGACCTTTGTTGAATACTGTAAGCTTCAAAATGTCACATTCTCAAGAAACATCAATCGGGATCAATTCTTTTACAACTTGATAAGGGTATGAACAATTTAGATGTTAACTGTATACCAAGAAAAAAACACATACATATAATCAATCTTTATTTGCAGGAAAGTATTGCAAGAAAAAGAATGCTCTTTTACAATAGACACGTTTCAAACTACATAGAGAGCTTGAAACTCAAACAAAAATTGTTAACAGAATATGCTTGTTAGAGAAACAAAGGATAGATCTAGAATTACTACATTGAACCATTGCAGTAATGAACTAATATTGGTTAAATGAATAATACATTTCATTTCATGTTAGTACAGATAGAGAAGACTCATTAAAAAAACACTTTTACGTTACCGTAAATCTCCGTGTATAAGGCACACTTTTTTGCCGCCGAAAAAATTTGAAAGTCGGGGGTGTGCCTTATACACAGGTACAGGAAAAAAACGTTTTTTTTTTTTTTTTTTTAGTTTCGATTTATGGCGCTATGCCTGGCAATGTCTCCCAGCTCAGTAATCAGTGTGTTGACTCACCATTTGGAAACTACAACAACACTCAAATTTGTCTGTCATCTTGGTTTGAAAGTAATCTTTCTAATAGATCTCAATATGTAGTTTATAATAATAATTCCTCAATTTTTTTTTTCTATTCATATCATGCATGACTATTGATGTTTGGCATAGAACACAGTGCTTCTGCTAGGTGATGTGATGAGGCTGGTATGGGACACTTGGTATCATGAAGCCTTAGAGTCTGGACCTGTTTTTAATTTACATTGTTACTATTTATTGTGACAAGTTCACAACTTCAACTGCACCTTTATGTAAAATGAAGGTCCTTCCCCGCGTGGATTTTCAGCAACAAAACGAAAAACGATTTTTTCCCCCCAAAAATAGGGGTGCGTCTTATACACAGGTGCGCCTTATACACAGAGATTTACGGTAATAAACAGAGCTCTTCTTTGTTAATTTTAATCAAAGATCTTTCTATATCTGATCACTGCATAAAGTTATTATTCCTATTCAAGTCTCGTTCATGAAAAATATGAAGTAAAATATTATGTCATTCATATTCAGAAATCCACAAGAATTGATATCATATTGGACATTAAATAACCAAACATTATGCTCTATGTGTAATTTTTAATACTCCAATGTCTATATCTACGTCGACTTCTATGTACATCATCACTTATTTATTTAGATTATTACTGCTTTTGCAGTTTTGTGTAACATAACCATTCTTTGTTAATTTGGACATTCCTATATAGAAGAAACACAAGAAGAGATCGACAGGAGTGTATCTCAAAGCCATGGGGGTGGTATTGCACAAACCCCTGTGCATTGTAAGCACTGATAATCTCTTGTTGGTAGATGAGGGACAGAAGAAATTTGAGTGGTGATGAATAGGATATAAAGGGCATGGATCACAAACAGTTCTTGAAGAAAAAAAAAGAGATACCATTAGCATGATCTACAAAGAGCACTAGTGTATCCACTTGGTTTTGAACCCAGGATCTCCTGGTAACTTGACCACTGAGCCATCGTGCCTCACTTGAAACTAACTTTGATCCTTAGAAAGAAACTGCTGAGGTTTTTTTACTGCATTATATGTGAACAGGCTGTTAGATCTTAGAGAGAATTAGAGATAATGTGAACAGTTCATTCTAAAGATGAAGTTAGAGCGATTTCAGACGAGTAACATCATTTAGATGTGATTAACAGCAAGGCTAATTAGTTAGTTCAGAGTCATTCGATCTGAAATATGGATTAAAGGAAAGGACAGACGAATTGACAGATGAATTGAGAAAGGAACAGACGAATTCACAGATGGAAGGATTGAAGGATAGATGAATTGACAGAAGAGTAGATTCGGCACACTCACCCTCCAGCTTCAAAGCAAAAACGTTCTGATGGAGAAAAAAAACAGAGAAACAAAAATAGTTTTAATAACGAATACCGATTAATGTGGGGTAAATATACTATCATTTCAATCTATCGCCTCTCAATATTTTCTCTGCATTAGCACTTAACTACTACTTCAACAAGCATCTAAACAAGCATTATTCTACCATTTACATGATTAATATTGAAGGGACTTGGTAACATTGTTCAGATGAGAGAAAATGGTGCTAAGGTAGTGACTTCAATGCTAGATGTACAATTAAAGATAATCTGAAAGTTTGAGTGAAAACAGACCATTACTAATGATAAAAATTGGGAAAAACTGATCTGATCGATTCCTGAATTCTGCCAACTATATTATTATAACTTAAATAAGGGCAATCCAACCCTTCTAATAAGTTTATTTTAATGAAAGCATAACAATCAGAGAAACAGAATGGCGAAAGTTTGAAATAAATCAGAGCAATATTAAAGAAGTTATGAATGTTTGAAATATGAGATCACTACAGCTGTGCGAATCTCGAATCAGCAATTTTGTCAGTGGATTGTGACGTAGTGACGGATTACTCTCCCGCTTGTTGCGTACACAAATATCCCTTATTTCTGTTTTTCTTCCAAGTGCCTTCACCTTCGGCGCACTACTCAAAATATATCATGGAGAGTACATTATTACAGGTCCTCTAAAAAGAACAAACCATCCCGAGTCATCCATTAATGAAAAATTGAAATTTTTCTTTTTGAGTATTGGAGCAAATGGGAAAGTTGTTCGCCACTACATCATATTGACATTATCAATTCAGCCAATTTGAAGAGCCCATTCCTATTGTAATTGCAACTTTCCAAAAATTGTAACTTTCTAATTTTTTGTCTGATTTCATTCAAACTTTCACTAGTATTCTTCTCTGATTTTTCTGCTTTATTCTTGACAAATTTGCTATCAAGGTTGGATTTCCCTTTAATTAAATGTTAGGTGAATGTGGGACCATATTCAATTCAGTAGGTAGACTAAGTCAGTATTTTACTTTGTAATTTACTTGGCTAAGTAAAGTGCCTTAACTCGTATTCAGATCCTATTTGAGCATTTTACTTTACTACGCCGACTTTATGGTAAAATGCTTACTGATAAGCATTGTGATGTTACATCATCATAGTCTTAATATACAAGTTTCAATGTATTATTTAATAAATTCAATTTTTCAAACTCACCTTCTTTCTTACAATAGCATACGGCGATGACGATGATGACAATGACAACGATAGCTCCTACTACACCACCAGCGATAGCTGCTACGTTAGCGCCATCACCACCTGAAGAGTAAAACAATAAAAAGATATCAAATTAGAACAAAGCAAATACAGTCAAACCATCTTTCTATTATTAAAGTCAGTGACCATCTGTCTATAAACACCTACTTTTTGTCTCCCTTGCAACAATGCTTCTCACTGAAACCTGTGTTTTAAACCCCACCTGTCTATAAAGACCATTTCTTTTTCCCCTTGAAGGAAACAATGATTCTTGTTGATTCATGGTCTTTCCATGTACAGGTTTCAGTGTAAAAGAGCAGTGTTTGAAAGAAAGTAGATGTCATTACCTATATATTCTTTCAATTTCATACAACAATTCATGAAATAGAGACCTGAGATTAACATATATTGAGAAGATAATTAAATATAATTCCATTGATAAATGAGTTTTTAAATATACTTGCAATTAGTACATGTATTATAGTAGTATATCAAAGTTTGATAAAGCCTAATGGGTGAGATATTGCATTTCATTCAAGCAGCCAAATATGATATTCTTTAAAAATTAGATATCTAAGAAATAATAATCTATGAAGGGAAGTTAGAGCAGTCACAGAATAAGATATTCCAGATATTTAAGAGTACAACATTATAATGTTCCCAGTTACAGGTACTGGGATTTTGTGCAATATAATAGACAGAAAAAGTACTGCCAGAATGCAAATCATGAATAGACACCATAGCTGGAATGCTACAAGAATGCATTTAAAAGGCATGACAAAAATAGAGGTTGGTTACATACCCGTAGATAAGTAAATAATTAGTAAAGTTTTCACTGAATAGGAACAAAATTGTTGGCTTTGTTGATGCAGGCTAGAGCCATAATGCAAAAAGTCTAAAGATTATCAATAACCACCTTTTTACAAATCATCATATCTAAAACATTGAGACATAGAAGCAAGTTTGTTAATTGTTAGCTCACTACTGTCCCATAAAGCTAAAAACATGATTTGTTTCAAAAAAGGAACACAAACCAGGAGGAGAAGGGGGTGGGGGGGGGGGGTAGAAGGACGAGGAGGAGAAAAACAAGAAGATGATGAAGAAGAAGGAGAAATAGAAAGAGAAGGAAAAATGGAGAAGAAGACAAAAAGAAGAAGTAGAAGAAGGGGAAGAAGAGGAAGAGGAAGAAGAGGAAGAGGAAGAGGGAGAGGAAGGAGAAGGAGAAGGAGATATAGAAAGAGAAGAAGAAGAAAAAGAAGAAAAAGAAGGGGAAGAAGAAGAAGAAAAAGAATGGGAAGAAGAAGAAAAAGAAGGGGAAGAAGAGGAAGAAGAAGAAAAAGATGAAAAAGAAAAAGAGGAAAAAGAAGAAGAGGAAAAAGGGGAGGAAGAGGAAGAGGAAGAGGAAGATGAAGAGGAACAGGAAGAAGAAGAAGAAGAGGAAAAAGAAGAAGAAAAGGAAGAGAAAAGGAGAAGGTGAAGAAAAGAGAAGAAGGCAAAGATAAAGGAAAAAATAATAAAAGAGGAATAAAAGAAAACGGAAGAAAAAATAATCATGTTCTGTTCGCTTTAAAGTGGTGATCCAATATGATCACAAAAAAGAAAATTCTCACTTTCATTCAATACCTTATTACAGTAGCTCATATAACGCTAGTATACCACACCCAAAATGCTTCAGCTCAACCCAATCACCATGCAAAAACAAAACCTACAGGTCAGCTCAACTCACTAACTATTGTGTGAAAACAGAAAGTATTATATGTCAGCTCAACGTTGGTATCCATTATCTTTGCAAAAATAAAATATGATTAGAATCAAATTCAATTTTCCTTTCCTACTTTAAGATCTATATAAAACAGACATGTAATCATGATATGTTTCAGTGTATTTTTGTAAGCCCATTTTATACATTATTGTTCTGCCTGTCTGATGTACTATATTACAAATGACTCAATGTCAATTATTTGTAAGGCAACAAAAGGTTACATGTATTTTAGGTTTATTGTCAGAGACTGCAGTATTCATACACGTTGTCAATGAATTATGCATCGCATGCAAGTTGTTGCCATATGAACACTATACATGTATTTCAAAGGGGGCAATATGGCTCCTGCAAACATTCACTACAAGTTGAGCCATTCAAGTCAAATTCATTTCAAAGGGACAAGGGTCTCTCTCTGTCTCTGTCTCTCTCTCTCTGTCTCTCTCTCTAACAATCACTAGTCTACAGGTATATACAGACTCTTATTTGTCAATTAAACACAACTCTGTGAAGGCTTGAGCCGAACCTAGCTCTGTCAGTCTCTGGCTGTGTACAGGGCATATGGGGTGTAGTAGACCATGCATTCAACATAGTCTTGCAGTACAGGCACTCTGCTAAACTGACAGGGGTTTGTACCTACAAACTATTAACATTCACCACACATTGAGCCATTGGTGTCATAAAAGGTTTTCCTTCCAAGACTACAAGGGAGTACAAAAGGGGAAGTCCCTCCTACCCAGAGTCTGTTGCCATGGTGACCTGACGTTGATGCAGACCTCATAACAGCCCCATATTGATCACACTCTATTGTGTTAAAACTTTCCTGTACTTGAGCATGACACTGCATATCATTAGAGAGCGTACATTGCTAAGTGTGTTTCAATCTACTATTAAAGCCCCACTGCACTACTTATAGCTACTTGCGCCCTCTATACAGCCAACAATGCCGTAGCGGTAACCGTTGGTCCCCCATGATTTTCTTATGTTAATTGAGAGCTGATTTGATGAGATAACCACCTGCCAGTGACCTTGCAGGAAGGTCTAATCTCTCCATGCCAAACTACAGCAGACAGGCTTAAAGCACCACTGCACTACTTATAGCTACTTGCGCCCTCTAAAAAACAAACAATGCCTCATCGGTTACCATTGGTCCCCCATGATGCTCTTTTTCTTATGTTAATTGAGAGCTGATTTGATGAGATAACCACCTGCCAGTGACCTTGCAGGGAGGTCTAATCCCTCCTGGCCAAACTAGTGCAGACAGGCTTAAAGCACCACTGCACTACTTATAGCTACTTGCGCCCTCTAAAAAGCAAACAATGCCTCATCGGTTACCATTGGTCCCCCATGATGATCTTTTTCTTATGTTAATTGAGAGCTGATTTGATGAGATAACCACCTGCCAGTGACCTTGCAGGGAGGTCTAATCCCTCCTGGCCAAACTAGTGCAGACAGGCTTAAGCACCACTGCACTACTTATAGCTACTTGCGCCCTCTGAAAAGCAAACAATGCCTCATCGGTTACCATTGGTCCCCCATGATGATCTTTTTCTTATGTTAATTGAGAGCTGATTTGATGAGATAACCACCTGCCAGTGACCTTGCAGGGAGGTCTAATCTCTCCATGCCAAACTAGTGCAGATAGGCTTTAATGAACATACGGTCTGTATTATATTAACAGTACCAATCCCAGTACGACTCAACGTAACTTAGGAAAATTATTAATTTAATCCAATCCTATTAAAACATTTGTGACTAACTGGCCAGACTCCAGATTGGAGTCTTTCGTTAAGAAAATATAAACATCATTATTATCTCTAAGATTTATATTTATAACACTCAATCATAATATATCTTTTGATACTAACATCACCAACACTCCATCACGACTCAAAATATATCAGGAAAATGAAGATTTAAATAAAAGAATAAAGGTTGCATGGTGTACCCGATGAAATAAAGAAATCATAAAGCCTACATGCAGTCATGCAATGGTAATGACACCATTTTCAACCATCCTCAATGCAAACAACAATGATCAAATATTTCTTGGAGGGGGGGGGGGGGGGGGGGGGGGAGGGGCTAGAATATAAATATTTTCATCATGTTTGACATGGTATATGTAGATTTGGATTCCATAATATAAAAGAAAATAACAGGCCATGCAAATAGTACATAATATGAAGAAAATTTTGATAGTAAAAATACAACTGTGTTAGCACATTTTCTGATGCAAAATTATACAGGGCACTTTAGTAATAGCCAAGAGGGTTGAAATCAAAACCTCTCATCTGTTTGGATGAGGAGGGTATTACTTCTTTTTTGACATAATGTGAGTTAATGCCTTCCAGGCTCATAACAGATGACATTTTAGTTCCCTGAATTTTATTAAATTTTATTACCATTTATATTTATCATATATCTTATTATATGTGTTGGTATTTGTTAGTGCATCACTATATTGTTACTTCAGCAATAAAGGAATAATAATTATAATTGCTATTATATTCTAGTATAGCGCATATCACATTATAACATCTCTATACGCTTCCAACGAGCTTTGGAAATTATTATGGAACAGAGATATTATGACAAGGCAAACAAAGAAAAGGAGAGCATAATATAAAAAGCCTAGGATTTGACCTGATTAATGGTCCATGCAGGGCAGGTATAATTTATAGTTCATTATATTAAATCAAATTATAGCTCTCCATTCTCTGTTTCATAAAGTATACTACATCTTGACAGCTAAAAGTAATATTGACCTTGCATTAAGGATAATATTTGCGCTCATCGATTGCACCAAATTATAAGAAATAGCATGCATCAAATTATATGACTGGACAGATGTGCAAACGATTTAAACAGCTTTGAACTTAATCTTGGTTATTAAAATGCACCTGTTTTTGTCATTAAAGCGTGGTTATAAGAGAGGGGAGTGAAGCATTCTTTTCACTCCTTATTAGCTCTCCTAATTGCTCTTTATTGGTCCTGCCTTCTGATGTATTACAGTAAAGGCCGTGTTCATTTTGGATTTTATTTCTTTTTGTGCTAAAGAGTAAAGATATCATCCAGCTCTCTCTTGTCTTTTGTCCCTTATTTTTTCTTCTCTCTCTCTCTCTTTATCTCTGTCTTTCTCTCTCTCTTGTTCACTCCTTTCCTTTCTCTCTTCTCTGCTATTCATATTAAAGATAAAGACCAGTTCTGGTCATGCGATTGTATTGTGAAAGAAACGTTGTGGAATCGATCAAAACAGGTTAATCATCTAGCATATATTGGTATTGGTGTGTATTGCAAGGTTCTG